TAGAAACGCCCGACTCACGGTTTAACAGAAACCAGGACAGACCAGATAGACATGAGGCGGAGAAGCCAGAGAGGAATGTTCACCCGAGCTGCTTGCTTCCTGCTCGTTCTCCGGGCACTTGACAGAAGCATGGAGAGGACAGCAAGCTAGTCACCCTCGTCTCCTGAGGTTCTGTCACACCCTCGATGTTTTGCAATGTTGCCTCGGTGTCCAGGGCCCTGCATTCTGCAAAGCAACCGTGTCCCCGGGTTGGGGTGGGGCCCCAAGGAGCCCATCTTCTGGGGTGGGAAGTTAGGGCCCGGCTGGGGCCCAGACCTCTGGATTTCTCATCCAATAATGAAAATATGGAGATGAAATAAAGGGGGAGAGATTATATTGGGGAAGGCGGGCCAGGAAAATACAAACGTCGCAGACCAGATGGAAACCCCCAGCCAAAGGCTTTTTGGACGCTGCTTCTGAGGCTGTTCTGCCTGTCCTCCCAGCAGTGACACTGACCCTGGCATTTTCTCTGTCTCTTTCAGGACCTCCTGTAAGTAACTCCAGCCACATTCCAGGCTTGCTCATCTGAAAGGCCTCGCTCCCTGCTGGTAACCGGGCCCTGGGAGGGGGTACTGACAGCGGGGCTCACTGTCTTCCAGGGGAGCCCCTGTACTCTCCCCACGCACAGGAGTCTGTGGGGTCCCTCCGGCATGCTGACGCGGGGATGGAGGCCTCCATTTCGCTTTTCAGCCACCACCGCTGCACCTCTCCAGGGCCAGACAATGGCTGCCCCCAGGCCCAGCCGGTCCCAATTTCAATCTGAAAGGCAGGCTTGCCCCATTGTTAGGCCGCTCTTTGGTCCCCAGAGGAAGCAGTTGTACTCAAAGAAGCTCCAGGTATGAGAAAGAAGAAAGATAATCTGTACTCCACCCTGGTCCTGAGAGGTCTCCTGGCCTTTCAGGAATCAGGTCAGCGCGTGGCTCTGCGTGGACTGCTTCCTAGGACCTGCTGTGCACTCTGGCTTATATATGGGCCACTCCCTTCTGGCCAGCTTAGGTGGTTAGCAGGTGGTCGTTGCTGGTGGTGGTGGTATTTTGATGGGACAGATCAGTTTCAGTGGGCAGACAGTACGAGACAGCACAGATCACTGCGGGTCTGGCTCCTTCCCCTGGCGTCACCCTAAGGCCCAGGGCGGGGCCAGGAGCCCAGTTGCTTCCAGAGAACCTGAGAAGAGCCCAAGGAGACAGTCTCCCTGAAGTAATGGATCCAGAGAATAGGAGCACGTCTTCTTTGAGGACTGCATTTGATACGCCAACAAAAGGCCCAGAGGTTTCCGGTGGAGCTGGGGATTGGAGCTGAAAGGGAGGAGACCCCACCCCAGATCTTTGTCAAGTTTCCTGGCCTTGCTCAGAGCCGCCCGTGCGTGGTCGGTCCCCTCTCCCTCTGTCCTTCGAGAACAGCCAGCCCTGTTTGTCGTCAGACCATTATTTACTATCCCGTCTGGTCCTGAAAAGGCACGCTGAGCCCACACCGCCCATCCTGCCCAGCTCTCTGACTGCCGGCTTACAGAGAGAGGAAAATTGTGTCAGTCCCCGCAAGCCGGGGCGTGATTCATCACGGCGTGTTGTAGATGTCAGATCTCAATTCCTGTCATCAATCTTCCAAAATAAACTCTGCCATAAGAAATTTCAACAGACCACCTGCTGGAAATGGGCTGCTTTTCCCCTTCTTTCTTGACAAAGCCCAAAAGAGTCCTCAGTTCCCCACTCCTGGAAGCTCCCCCAGAATACCCCACCCCCACCACACCCCACCCCCACCCCCCTGCAACCAGGCTGGGGCCAACCTGCCAGCATCAGGTCAGCTCGAGGTCCCTGCCTTGCCAGGAATGTAGCTTTCTGAGAGCATCAGCGAGCCTCACCCCCAGACAGCTCCCAGCCAGAGAAGGTGCTGCTGGCCCCAGGGGCTATGCAGTGGCGAAGGATATGGGTGTCCCTCAGTGTCCCTGTCTGCCTGGCCACCACCTGAACTGGGAGCAAGGGGCAGGAGCCCAGGTAGCTTCCCGACACGGCCTCTGGGTGTGATCTGCACCTTCACCCTATCCTGGTTGAAGCCACAAGGAGGAAATGGGAAGCTGGCCAGGGTGGGAGTCACCTCCTAGCCCTGTTCTATCTGCTTCATATCATGCTGTTGGAGGGAAGGAAGAATGCTGTTGAGGAGGCAGCTGTTGAGGAATAGAGAGATGGCAGCTGGTGGCAGTGCCTGTCGCCACCCTCTGAGTGTCTCTTGGGAGAGCCCCTCCTGGCGTAACTCTGTACTCCAGTTGGAAGACCCAGGTCCCCAAGGGCACAGGATGGCCACTACCTAGAGAACACAACCAAGGAGGATGGATTTAAGTAGCCACAGGAATCATTTAGACGGTAGAAAAATCGTGGGCCCCACCTCCCGGTGCACCACCTTGTACCCATGGCAGACATTGCTAATCAATCAGGAGGCTTCTTAACATAATGCTTTGCTCAGTCGCTCCCAATCCACTGGAGTCGGCACATTGGAGCTGACACCTGCAGGCCAGGCCTGCTGTAGATTTCAGAGAACTTCTTAGTGGGAGCTGTGAGGCTGAAACAGATGGTAGTGGGAAGTAGGGAGGTCTCTTTCCCTGGAGGAATACAGGGAAATGTGTGATGTCCAGCTGCCACCCTGGCTGAAGGTGGTCCTTGCTGAAATCCTAGCTAGCATTTACGATGTGTCAGTCACTGTTGTGTTTGCATAGTGATTGCAAGTGTGGGCTGTGCAGCCAGACTGCCTGCATCTGAATCCTGGCTCTACCACTTCGAGCTAGGCCCTATGTCGCCTAGGGCAAGTTGCTTTACTTTTCTGTGCCTCAGTTTCCTCATCTGTAAAATGGGGTTAGTTATAGCGTCTGCCTCTTCCAGGAGTTGTGAAGAATATATATGTATTGATATGTGTGTGTATGCATGTATATATGCCTATATACACACAAGTGTGTGTTAGAACATATTTCCAGTTACAATATACTAACTTATTTAAATCCTAGATGATCCACAAAGATTCTGGTAAGCCTTTTAATTTTAAGGAGGGAATGATTATTCTGCGGGATTTTATTAATTCATTTATTATTTCATCTATTTCTACCCACCTTATTCTAAAAAAAATATTCTGGGGTGATTTACAAATGAGATATGGAAACAATGGAGGAGGGTGGAGAGCAGAGGCAGGAAAGCAAAGGGATCCAGAGCTGATGACATGACAACATCCTATGCAAAACAAGCCACTGACTGGTCTCTGAGCTTCCTGGTGGCCAGAGCAAAGAGGAAAGCAGAGTTGTTCAAGTCAGGCTGTAGGAAGTTAGGAGCATCCTTGGCACTTGAGTGAAACACAGATGTTCCTGATACTGACACCAGAGAGAAGTCCCTCCCATGTGCAGATGAGGTAGGACGAGTAGGTGGTGGGTACACAGGAGCAGTAGTAACCTGTCCCTTCGGTCCCTATTCAGGGTAGACCCACTGTGTGGGGTTGGAAACCCTCAGTAGTTCCGTTCCCTTCCCTGGGATGTGAAGGAGGTGGCTGGCCCACGTCTGGACCACTCCCTGGTGGCATCAGGACCTGGCAGTGTAAAAGTGGCAGGAAGTGGGTACTGGCTCCGTGCTAAAGCTCTGAGTTAAAGAGGCTATTTGGTGCCTGAGCTGTCTTCCTGGGGGCCTAGGAGAAAAGGAGGCTGAATTCCCAGGGCCAGAGCATCCGCCCTCAAGTTCATTCATTCACAAATAGGAATGAAGAACCGACCAAGAGCTCAGCACTCTGCAGGCACCGGAGACACCTTCATGAACAACACAGAAAAAATCCCTGCCTCGGGAGCTTATATTTTACTGCTGAGGGGGCAATATCAAGCAGAGTGAAGCGATGGGACATGTCCTATGCCCGTGAGAGCCATTCCCCAGCAACTCCCAAGGACTCCCTGGCAGGGCCTGACCTCAGTTCTCTGTGGGCGAAGCACTGCACCACCTCCTCTGGGATGCCCTCAGGAACAAGGGTCAGAGGGGGTGACTGATTCCTGGTTCTTCCCAGGTCTGCCTGAGCAGCCCAACATCACATGCACTTACCTTCCAGGGAACACCCCAGGGCCCATGCTTGGTCCTGCCTTGGCTTCGCAGGAAGAGCAGGATGTCTGGAAGGAAAGAAACCACATCTGGTAGCAAAGACTCCGCAGGGAGAAGCCAAGGCTAGCTGCACACGCCTCCTGCCAGGGCTCTTCTCCAGTAACCGTAATAGCTAGCATTTATTTAGTACTTGCTGTATGCCAGCCGTTTCGTGGCCACCCTCTTGTAGCAGATCCATCTGAAAGTTGAGGGCTGGAACTAATAAGCCCCGAGTCTCTTGGGATTTGCTTGGTTCCTGAGTCACTGCTCTGCATGTTGGTCCGGTGATAATTATTGGCTCTGAGACACATTTTGTGGAAGGTCTTCCTCTTTCCAGTGAGATTTCAGATCCATTACATGGAGCCTTTAGTCTGTGCCCAGGATTGGGCTGGGCAGGAGTACTAGGGTAATGGGGGAAGGGCTGAAAGGCACTGCATGGTCAGGGAAGACAGATTTCTGGAGCCACACGGGGCCAGTAAAGAGTGGTAGGATACCACCCTGGCCGAGACAGAAAGGCTTAAAGAGAAGAGGTGTCAGTAAGACCCACAGCCCTAATGATCCTTGAATCATGAGGGGCAGAGACACGAGAGGGGACATTCTTGTCTTTCTTTTGCTTGCACCTTCCCTGGGTCTGACATGGAGGAGACCCCCATTAACTGCTTTTCTGAATGAATGAATGAATGAATGAATGCTAAAACTAAAAGGAAGCTTAGTGATCAAGGTCCTGCCTTCATTTTGTTCATAAAATAACAGAGGCTTCTAGAGCACAAGGGACTTCAGGCCACACAGCTGATTGGACAATGTGGAATGCTCATGTCTTACTACCTTGACCTTCATAAACCCCGTTCTTTCCTCCCTTTATTTCAGGGTCCTGCTGGAAGACCTGGCATCCCGGTAAGCAGCTTTCATTTCTTCCTTCCTTTGTATCTCTCTCTTCTGCTCTCCTCACACCAAAGGGCTGGCTAGGCTTGATGGCTGCTTTCCTTCAAGTGTGTCTGGGTGAGAGGGCTCTCTCCAGCACCTCTAACCTACAGCCAAGGGTGAAGCTCCTGGGTAGCCCTCCCGGGGCCCCAGGCAGGCCTATGACCACATGCGGGCCCTTCTGAGGCTGGATGGACTTGACCTCTAGACTGAAGGCCCTCTAATGGGGGCTGGAAGGGGAGGCAGCCCACTGGCCTTAATGGCTATCCTCCTGCATACAGGCATAGCTTAAGACCACTGCCCCTCTTTTGTCCTATGACCTCCAGTAAAAGGAGACTCAAAAACTTTGTTATTCCCCCGGTTACCATTTCTGAATGCTAGATAGGCTGAGCCAAGTAACCGTGGGGATTTTGGATTCAAAGTAGAAGTAATACTGACAGCCAACCCTTACTGAGACCCTCGTCCAGGCCAGGTACTCTGCTCTCACTCTTCATGTCTTTGATTTGTTCGACAACTCAGTGAAATGGCCATTAAAATTCATACCCATTTTATAGATGAGGATACTGAGACTCGGAGAGGTAGAATACCTTGTCCAACTGTCCAAGCTTCAGTTGAGACCTGTGGAGGCCATGTTGTCACACACATTTCATACCTCTGTTTCCTGCAGTCCATGCTTGATGTTTGAGAAGTCTTTTAAGTCTTCAGAGACATGGCTCTGTGGGATGTAGCCTGGGGCATAGATGCCTTGAATGCTGGATACCACGGTCCCTGGGATGGCTTGGGGAGTCAGGCGAGATGCAGTAGGCAGCCAGAGGGCAGAGGCGAGCTGCCCTCCCTGCGCTGAGGGCCACATCCGTTGGCTTCCAGATCCTTCTGTGCATCCCAGTTCCTCTTCTTTTCGACATGAATCACACTGTAACCCCTTGACTAATCTAGCAGCTTCTAGAATTCATGTCCAATAGTGACTTTCTTAATGAAATGCATGTGGGAGGGTGCTTAGCTTTGAAATTGGAAACTCTCCCAGTAAGCACCAAACCCCGGAGCAAAGGAGGACGGGCGATTCGGTCCCATGAAATCCAAGGAGGGGAAAAATCAGATGACTGGGGAGAACGTGGGCAGACTTTGTTTTTTCTGACAACGTCCACCTTTAAAAAGCATTTGGGGGCAATTCACTGAGCCGGGGCTGCCGCGCAGAGTTCCCAGTCTCTGGCCCTTCCATGCCTGTCCCTAACCAGAGCATTTTATGGCTAGGACTGCAAAGAACATTAGTTTTTAAAAAAGAGATGGACAAAAAGCAAAACACACATCCTGCAATATCATTCAAAAGCTCCAGGGTGAGTGGGCCGTGGGGGAGTCACAGCCAGCACGAGGCAGGCCTGGTGTCCTCAGCAGGAAGGGCGGACGGCCGATCCCCAGGTCCTTGTCCCCCTTGTGCTTCCACGTGGGGGAACCTGGGAGGGACCCGCGAAAAGACCTGCTGCTGCCCGCCCCTTGTGAAATGCAAAAAGGATGAAGTACAAACACCTTGCACATTTCACTTGCCCACAGCTGTGCTGGGCTCACGGCGTGTAGACCTCGCTTATGCAACATGGCCCAGGTGCCAAGCCCTGGGAGAAGACCTTCCAGGGGCATCATCTCCTGCCATCCTCCCAGCAGCCCCTTGAGAGAGACACAAGCTCTCAGGGAGGTACAGAAGCAGAACCAGTCTTCTCACCAACGCTGCTCCCCCGCCACTCTTGGGTGAAGGGTAAACGATTTATAGAGATGCCACGGACCTGTGTCCCTAAGACCCTAATTTCAGAGTGCTTGCTATTCTCGGGTATACCCACATACATGCTGAGATGCTAAATTGTCCCTCAAGGTGTGTTGTCTCAGTGGGGGAGTCAGCAGATGCAGAATTGCCCAGAAGCACCCACACCCTTCAGGGAAACTGACAAGCCCAGCTCTCTCCTGCCCAGGAAGCCGTGACAAACACCATCTGATTTTTGGCCCCCATTACTTTATGTCCTTCTAGACTCCTAGCAAACCCCAGGCCCCACCCCAGATTTTTATGATGTCTGCACACTTATGATTGCAAAAAAATGTTTTCTACCAAAAGGGAGAGGAACAAAACTTACTAAGCAGATTTCCAGAGTGAGAAGAGGTAACCCCTGGCTATGAAACGAAGTAGGTCCCTCCAAGCAGCTGAAACGTGGGGTGTGGCTCTATCCACATGGCTCACTGCCCTTCTGGTTGGTGCCAGGGGTGGCCAAGAGGAGGGCAGGGAGAAGGACTCTGTCGCAGCCTTCTCGGACAGAGGGCCTGGGGACACGGCCCTGCTCCTCAGCTCTGGCCAAATAGACCACTCCCCTGTCACATGGGGCAACCACTCACCCCGCTCTGTGCCTTAGAGTTGAGCGGGACAAAGATATAGCACAACCTGCCCATAGCCAGACTAGACTGTGACAGCAGAAGTGTAAAAGAGGAAGGGCCTTGGACTAATGAGGAAACACATAGGGAAACGGAGGCTCAGGCTGGGGACCAGACTCCTACGTTAGTGCACTTTCCACAGCACTGTTCTGAGTGTGGACAGTGATAGGGGTGGCTGCTTGCCTAACCGTCCTCAGGGGCTGAGCGGGCATCGTCCCAAGTGCTCATGCAAAGCAGGTCTTGGGTGCACAGCCAGCCCATGGGGTCCTTCACGTGCTGGCCCGTCTCCAGCCACATCTAACTGTTTCTGCCTCCTTCATCAGGGGGACAAAGGTGCCATTGGAATGCCTGGACGTGTGGTGAGTTGGCGCATTTCTCTCCGCTTGGGTGGCCGTTGCTTGCTTCTTCGTGCTGGCCTGTCTTCCGATCCATAGCAACCTCCCCGGCCCCAAGGAGGGGGTCAGACCTCTCTCTTCCCCCACCCAAGTCGGCTTCAGAGAGGGGCGGGAGGAAAGAAGGGAAGAAATTTTATTCCCATCCTTCGGCTCCTGCCGTATGACTTCGCTCTCCAGATAGCTGCCACCACAGAGGAAAAACGCAGGCAGTAGCACTGATAAAGTTCTTTGTCACCCAAGCCCAAGTCCAAGCCCAAGCCCAAGCCCCTCCTGACATCAGCAGGACTCCTCCCCCCCCCGCCCCCCCCCCCCCCCCCCCCCCCCCCTCTCACCCCCCCCTTAGTTCCCCCGCTGCTCTCCCCCACCCCCCCCCCCCCCCAGCAAGAGCGGCACCAGACGGTAAGAAATGCAGCCTCAAGTTGCCCTATGGAAGCCGCAGCGGGGCCGCCTTCCAGAGACCCTTCCCTTAGACAGAGACGAGAAGCTGGTGGGGACAGGGCTGGCTCCCAGATGGTGCCCCCAAGTCCTCCCCAGGTGGCTGGGAGTGAGCCACTGAATGTTTCCTGCTGAAAACTCAAGATGAAGAAAGGGAAGCAAGAATGTTCCACAGGGAGGGTAGAGCTCAGAAATGGGAAGGCTGACCATAGGCCTCGGGGTCCCAGCCCAGGCTTGTCCCCAGTGGCTGCTAACCTCCAAGGGGCTAGAAAGGGCAGCTCAGGCACTGGAGGCAGCCCAGGTAGGTGGTGGCCACATGCCGGCCTCACCAGTCCCGAGCGAGACTAGGATGTGCCCAAGTTATGCTCCCTATCTACCCCCACCAGCCATCAGCCTCAACCTCCACCCTGGCTCCCTTGGGCACCCCCGCACCCGACTCCCTTCCCACGCCCCCATGCCATCCTTCTGTGCCACTCACACGCCTTGCCTCGTGACCTCGCCTCCTCACGGGTTGGCCTTACGCCTGGGTCTGGCATCCTTGCGGGAGTTTGCTCTCCTGGTGTGAGCTGGTGCTTGGAGGAAAAGCCTCCGAATCACAGCTAACACCCAAGAGTGCTCACTCTGCCCTGGGCCTTGTGTCGAGAGCCCCACTTGTGTCAGCTCATTTGGTCCCAAGAGCTGCCTGAGGCAGGCACAATCTCCACCCCATTGTTCAGATGGGAAAACCGAGGCTCAGGTGTAAAGTGTCTTTCCCAGGGTCCTGCCTGACCCTGTCCCTCTGCTTCAGTTCTCTCATGCCATGCGTGGGCCTGAGGCAGGCCAATTCTCTACCAGAGCCGTCCAGGGACCCGTCCTATCCATGAGCACATTGAGACTCAGTTTACCCACATTGCGGGGGTGGAGCTGGGACTTGAACCCAAGCCAACTGTCCGACGCCGAGATCCTGGCTCCCAACAGGTGGGCTTCAGGACCCTACACTCTGAGTTCTGCGGCCAGCCTTCCCCCCTCCTGCCCTTCTTCTTGGGCCCTTGTGGACCTGTGTCCCCAGGAAGCGTCCACCTGAGTTCTGAGCCTCAGGGGTGGGGGCAGGAGGGAAGGCCACAAGATGCCCCCATTTCTTTCCACAGGAGGCTGTTTTCCAACCACTTGGGGGTTTCCACGCTGCTTGTACTGTTTTCAATGTGACAATGGACCCATTTGGCTACCCAGTAGGAGTCCTGGCCTGAGCCACCTCATAAGGAGAGGGTGGCTGGGGGTGTGAAGTGCCTGATTTGCGCCTGTGGTTCCCACCAGCACAGCCAGGCACCCCTTCGGTGGGTTAGGGTAGATCGGAGCTGTCTCTCCGCTCCTCACTATGGTTACAGGGGTTCTTAGTGACTGCCCAGTTTCCTCTGCATCCCTGACCCATCCTCCCTCCTCCCAGATGTCTGTGTCCTGCCGTCTGTCTTCCCATATTCCTTTATTCCCTCTCCCACCATCTTGCCTGGCCAGCCCTGATGGCTTCTAGCACGTGTAGCTTGGCAAAATTTTATGCTTGGTGCCCATTAGGACCTTCAAACCAACTAAACTCCATGTCACAACACAGTCCTTGGGCAAGGTACCCCTCATGTCCACTCCCCCCGAACCACCACCTCCTCAAGCGGCCCCGTCAGCGGGGGACATGGCTTCTCATGGCTTCTCAGGGTGACTTTCTGACCTGGATAGGTCTCTCTCTCTCTCTCTCTCTCTCTCTCACACACACACACACACACAGACAAGTCTCCTGCCACTGTTTCTCTCTGTCCTCTGGAACAGCTGGCTGGGGCCGGGCCCGGGGGTGAGGCAGAAGCGATCCATGCACTGTGCCTGTCGGACGCCGGACCTGTCATGTGTCAGCATCAATGTTTTGTTTTGTTTCTTACTTTGCAACGATTCCTTTTGTTTGGTCGTCGTGCCTTTAACACAGATTCTTGCGTGTGCCTCTCTCTCATCCCTTCTCTTTTCTCTCCCCTTCTCTCTCCTCCACCCTGTGTTGCATGTCGCTGCCCCAGGGAGTAAAGGGCCAACCAGGCGAGAAGGTGAGTCCTCACTTTGTCCTCCATCCTTCCGCCCCAGTCTCTTCCCCTTGGACCCTTGGGGGGGCTTCCAGAGGCCCCCGTCTCAGTCCCCCTCCCCCCAGCATGCAGGCCCCAGCCCTCTGCCCTCACGGGCTCTCCCAGCCCGGCATCTGGGCCCCTGACTCCCAGCTAAGGACCCAGCTTCCCTCCGGCGTGGGTCTCCCCACACACCGAGGCTGACTGTGGCCTCGCCGTCCCCCTTTCCCAAGGCGAGGGGATCTCGATGGCTGTTTGGGGCAGCTGATTCTAGTCCTTCCCCAGCCCATGGCTCAGACATAGAGATTCTCTTCGTGCTACCCCAGAGAGACTCCCAGGCATAGAGCAGAGCCCCCTCCGAAGCCAGAAGCCCGAGGGACCATTCTGGAACATTAGCCCTGGTGGATCCTGAGGGATCAGAGAGCAACACATCTAACCAGTTCACTTTACAGAGAAGGAAACTGAGGCCCAGAGTAGGGGTGGGGCTTGCTGAAGGTTCCACAACAATAATGACAAGCAGAGGCAGGAAGCCAGAACTCCTGATGCCCAGCTCAGTACTTCTTTGTCTGTCCCTGGCAGTGTGTGTTTTCGAGAGTCTGTCCGTCTCCAAAATAATGACAATGGCAGCAAAACACTAGCAGCTACGACGTACTAAGCACAAACGCCCAAGTGCAGAGGTATTTTGCCTCTGTTCTCCCAGCTAACCCGGACACAGCCCTTCCAAGGGGGCTTTAATATTCTCATTCACATGAGAGCCCAGAGAGGCAGCTTCACAGACCCAAGGTCACACAGCAGCAAGTGACAGAGCTGGAGAGGAGCCCCAGCCTCACAGGGTCCCCTCCTGGGGCTCCACGCTGCCGGGAGAAAGACGAGGGCCACGAGGGCTGCGATCAATGGTGTAGGGACGATTGCAAACACTTCCAGCCCCATCGTGCCCCAGGCGTTCTTTTAAGCACTTTACAACATTATCTCATGAAACTTTCACACCCGTCCCAGGAGACAGGTACTCTTCTCCCGCTCCCTGCATTACAGATAAGAAACCAAGGCAGAAGGAAGTTGAAAAGCTGGGAGGGAACAGAGCCGGGCTTCAAACCTGGGGTTCTGGCTCCTAGCATGACACTACCCTGCCTCGTGTAACAATTACTGTATCCTTGCGGCGGTATGAACAGTTACAGATCTGAGCTCACTGCTCACCTGGGCGTGAGGCATGACAGTCACGAACGCATTTAGGTCCTTTGCTTGGAAAGGTAGCAGAGCAGAGGACGGATGTGGACGGAGAGGTTCTGGGACTTGTCTGCCAGAGCAGGGCCTGGGAGGGAGGCCCTGGGCATTTCCTCTGCCAGGAAGGGGGGTTCCTGGTGCGGAGAAGCAGCCGGCCGTCCCCGCAGCAGGGCACAGCCTGGATCCTTCTGCCAGGGCATCATCTCTGACCCCCTCTGCATCCCCTATACCTTCATCTTTCTGTCACCCTCCCTGCCCCCAGCTCCCATGCATGTGCGTGTGTGCACATGCGTGCGCACATGCGCACACACACACACGGGTGTTCCATCCTCTTGCGGCTGAAAATTCTGGCCTGACTTCAGCCCTCTGTGTCACTCTCACATCAGGAGTAGGAGGTCCGAGGCCACTTCCACCAAGCGTGGTCTTATCCCCACCCTGGCTGGGGTGTGGACAAAGGCTTCAGGGGCTCTGAGGCTAGGGTGGGGCTGGGCAATTGGGAAGGAGGGGGGCAGGGCCTGGGGGAGGCCTCTGGGGTCTGAGCTGCGTGGCTGAGCTGTGTGCCCTCCCCCTCCCCGTGCTGCCTTTGCTCATCCCTGTGCTGAATCCCTTCTTCCCTCTTCTGCCGGGGGTCCTACCCGCCCTCTGTCTTCTGTCCCACATCTCATGCTACCACTCACCTCTCCTCCCTCTTCCTCTGGCCTCCCGCTGCCCTTCTCACTCCCTCCTGGATGCTCCGTTTGCTCCTGTGTCTCCTCTGGTCCTCCACCTCCCTCCACACCTCCCCCCCCTCCTGGCCCCCTCTGTCTTCCTGGCCCCTGGCTGGGTACCCCATCCCACCCCGCTCCCCTTCCCCACCTGCCAGCTCCTTTCTTTCCCTCCTCCTTTGCCCACCCCCCCACCACTCCGGGCCCCTGTCCCTCTCCCTCTCCTCTCTCTCTCCCACAGGGGGCCCCAGGAGATGCCGGCATGTCTATCATCGGCCCCCGAGGCCCCCCAGTAAGTGGCTTTTGCTCTTCTTCAGGGTGGGGGGGGCTGGGCCAGGGAATGGCAGGGGTTTGGGTGGAGGGGGAATGAGTCCCAGCTCTGCCTCTGGGCCTGCTGGCCACCGCCTGTGATGTGGTCAGCCAGGTCAGGCCTGCCTAAATATACCTAAATTACAGCCTCTCAGGAGGGCTTGCAAGGTCCACCCTTTGGCCATGAAGCCAGCAGCTTCGAGGTGACCCTGTTGCTTATAGGCAGGGAAGAAAGTGCTCGCTGCTCCCCAGATGGGCTGTTCCAGCTTTCCAGGGGGTGAGCCTTGCTTTCAGAAGCCCGTGGAGCAGATGCCCAGCAGATGCCCAGCGTTCAGATCCACTGCCCCAAATGCCCACTCCTAGTCTCAGCAGAGTCCTCACCCACCACTCATCCTGAAAGGCCCCTTTCTGTTCATCCTGCTGAGTCCTGGTTCTTACTCGCCTCTACCCACTGGCCGGGGGCTCAGGGACATCAGAGGCTTCCCCTCTGACATGTTTCCTTAGAGACCAAACGGGGGCAGGGTGATGATGTGGGAAGACACTGTCACTGTGGGAAGGAAAGCCCAAACCACAGGGCATCAGGGCAATCACCAAATGTCAGGGTAAAAAGAACCTCAGCAATGGTCTAGCACAACGCCCTCAGAAGGGGAAACAGGCCCAGAGAGGGGCCAGGGGCCCACACATAGAGGCTGGAACAGGAATCGAACCCAGGACGCTTGGCACTCAGGGCTTCCCCCATAGATCAGGCCACCATCTCCATGCTCCACTGTACACTTTTCCTGTCCTGCCTGCACAGTGAGAGGATGAGGGAAGCAGAGGGCTAGCCTCTGGGAGTCTGAGGCTAACCCAGCGGAGGTGTGGAGCCTAGCCTGCCCCTTCCCCTGCCTTCACCAGAGGGAGCTGGTGGCAAGCCAGAGCATCTCCTACCCATGGTCTAGGGAGTGGGGTCCAAGAGCAGATTGCTAAGTCCTGTCCACAGGAGGCTCGGCCATCCAGGGCTGCTGGGAGGTGGGGGGCAGGTCAGAGAGGGGAGCCAAAGGGCAGAGCTGGGGAGCAGGGCTGGCAGACTGGGCAGGGGCCGAGGCTGGAGGCAGAGTTGGAAAGGTCCTAGGCTGCAGAGACCGGCTTCCTGGGCAAGATTCCCTCTGGCTTGGACCCCAGAGGTGATGTTCAAGGACTGACCCTTGGCACAGAATTTGTGGCAGGCAGCGTCCTAAGACGGCTGCACACTGTAACTTAACCAATTCTCACAAGAAGCCCACCGGTAGGTACTGTTAGCACCTGAGAAAATCTGGGCACAGAGAGGCCGAGCAGCTAGCCCAGGGTCACTCCCTTGAGGGTGGCCGCGTGGGGATTAAGGTGCTCAGCCTGGGCCTCGGGGCTCCCTGCTGTGGCACATGGGCAGGCCTCGGGGTAACCAGCATTATCCGGGCCTCTGGGCTCATGTGGCCATTGCTCGGATGGGCAGTAAGCTTCTGTGTGCATCAGAGGAGCTGCCGCACTCATGCCCTGAGCCCAGCAGCTCCTGCCAAAGATGGCACTCAGCCAGGGGGTCCCTAGGAGGTGAGAAGGTCACCGAGAAAGCCAGTCCCCAGGTTCTAATGGCCAGGACCAAGCCGGGGCAGGCCTGTGAGGTGGACCGAAGAGTAACAGAATATGGGCCCTACCCCTTGGCCACCACCCTGGCCTGACTCCCAGTCTCATCACAGATCCCCCTGGGTCAGTCACTCCAGTCCTCTGACACCCTTTTGGCAGTGTCATGCCAATGAGTTACCAAAAAGTTGTTGAAAAGGCCCCTCTTCTGAGAACACGCTCGGGGGCAGGGGTCTGCTTCAGATCCCCTGGCTTCTGGATCAGTGCACGTGATGAGGAACCGTACCCTGCCCAGGATTTGCCTCTAGTGGCGAAAAGTAGCTTCTCTTCAGGTAACACGGATAAATTCCATCCCCTGGGCACCTATTCCTGTCCTAGGGCCTGTGCCGAGAGAGCCCACCTATGCCGAGATCCCACCTATGCCCAGGCCTCTGTCAGTCCTCCCGACAAAGTGGTGGGGCAGGCCTGCCAGCCCATCTCCCAGAGAAGGAGACATAAATCACCTGAGACCACTCAGCAGCTCAGGGCTAGACCCTGGGCTGGGCCAGCTTTGCCTCATTCCAAATGCCTCATGCCACTCTCGTGGCAACCCTTCCTTCCATGTTTCAAGCTCTACTCTTTTAAAGGTATATTTACCTTCAGGAGAAGAAACAGTTCTCCGTGTGGGTGCAGCCTTGGTGGTAGGGGAGGGTATAGTACCAGGAGGCTTAACCATGCCCAGCCTCCTTCCCCTTTCGCCTGTGTGGGTGCCCATCACCCGGATGACTGGACCCTTCTGAGTCCTCACTGGAGATCAGGGCAAACACGTTAACTCCTCCCAGGAAGCCATCCAGAGCTGGTGAGAGCAGGGGGCAGGGGAAGACAAAGGGAATGTTCATCATAAGGGGGAAACGCCAAGTAGGCAAACCCTCTGTATGGCCGAGGATTATGGGGAACGTGTGGCTTTCCACTCAGCCAGAAAGGGCTCAGAATAAATGCTCCTAATAAGAACCAGCCTTATCACCCTCAAGGGCCACCTGCCTCCTCTTTTGGAGCTTCTTCCTAAATAGTCTGACCCAAGGGGGAGCCAGCCAGGAACTTTGGGAAAGGACGGTTTACATCCCAATGAGCAAGATGCTGGAATGGGGTGCCCCATTACAGCGAGGGGGAGGCCAGGACTCTGGCTGACCCAGCGGACACCGAGCAGGTCATCTGCCGGGCTAGGAGACACCCTCCCCATCTCAAGGGGAGCTCATTCCCTCCCTGAGCCCCTCAGCTTGTCTTCAGGGGCCAGGAGGGAGCTCTCAGGGCTCTGAGGAACTCTCAGCCCTCACTCACAAGGAGATGCCCCAGCCTGGATCCATACACCTGCTGAGAGTTTCTTTGCTTATTCAGATCATTAATATTTATTAGGCACCAACTGGAGGCTAGGTGCTGAGTAGACAGTGAAAATCTGACCCACCCTGCTTGTCCCTGCACAGAGAGACCAGGAAGCCCATCTTGATTAGGATACAGACCGTGCTCAGCCATGATGGCTAGGGAGTGGTGCCCACATGGCAGGGGCACCTGCCTTAGGGTGGGGGCAGACAGAGAAAGCTTCCAGGAAAGGGAGGATTAAGTAAATGGTGATCAGAGAAGAGCAGAGGTTCCCAGGTTGTGAGGCCGGGGAGGAGCCCCCCCGCCCCCCACCCCCTCAGGGAAGACAGGTTCTTATAAACTGCCAGGAAACAGGGAAAGTGCTTTGTGTAGCAGAGCAAGGGCAGGCTAGCGAGGTGAGCAGGGCCTGGTGGAGAAGGACCAGGACAGGGTCTTCAGGAGTCGGGACTCTATCCTGAGGGCCGTGGAGAGCCTTGGTTTGTGTTCAGCTGAGGATGGACGTGATCAGATGTGCAGTTTGAAAAGATGTCCTGTCCCTCCCTGCTCCGGCATGGAACGTGTTTAGAAGCAGCTGCAGGTGGGGGACTGGCTAGGAGACGTTTGCAGTAATCAAGGGCTGGGCTGGTGGCACCTTTTGGAGGTGGAATTGGCTGATTCACTAACGACAAAAGTGGGGATTGAGAAAGAAGGAGGAGTTCAAGGTGACTCCACGTTTCTGACTTGAGTAACCAAGTGGACGGTGGTAGCATTCTCCAGATAGGGGAGAGGATTTTGCTGGGGAAGATGAGTTTAACCAGAAAGTGATGAACTTGAGATGTCCTTGTCACATCCAAAGGCAGATGTTGCCCCTCCACCCCGTTTGTTGCTGGAGGTCAGAGCTGGAGCTGGCTCACCGGGTTCGTAAGAGCAGATCATGCACACCTCCTCCCAACTCTGTGCTCGGTGGCATCACGTTGATAGCTTAAAATCAGCCATGGTGGGAGGTATATTTACACCACAGAGATTAGCAAATGCTGTACAAAGCAGGGCTCTTCTCTCCCATTCTCTGTCACCTCAGCCAACAATTAAATACTGACCAGCACAGGGTTTTGTTTGAAAGATAGTCAGCCTTGACGTGGAGTGGGAGGCCTGCTCTGGGCAGATACAGGACTGACCCTCTTTCAGGGGTCAGAAAGAAGGAAAGGGAGAGTTAAGCTTCTGTCGGTCTATGTGGATTTACCCCACACAAATTGCAAGTAGGAGTAGACATTAGGGTCCACTTCCAAAAAGCAGGGATCCACTTGGCTCCCTCTCCACCCTGGCCTTGAATTAAGGAAAGAGATTTTGGAAAGAAATGTAAAGTTTGTGTCCTTTGTTCGTACATGGAAGGACATAGTATTAATACATTATTAATTTACAAATAAATTTATAATCCATAATTTTAATACGATCCTAATTCCAGTGAATTTTTTATGGAGTTGGGAGTCCAACAGAATAGTGTTCATTTCGTTTGGGGGGGAAAAAGTAAACTTTCATAAGGATGTTAGGAAAATTCTGAAAAAAAGTGTAAGGGGAATAGGGCAGGAGAGGACTGGTTGTTCTACTAGATATCCAGTGTATTATAAAAACAGAGCAGTTAAATAGAACAAAATGGTAAGGCCAGAAATACAGCCAAATGCATCTGGGAAGTTAGTCCCTGGTAAAAGTTTCATTTCACAGTAGGAAGAGGAAAATAGATTGTTTAGGAGATGATGCTAAGATAGGGGACAAGTCATTTACTAAAAGGGAAAGCCAAAAAAAAAAAGCTGAATCTGTACCTCACTTGTTATACCAGAATAAATACCAAATGGATAAAATACTTAGAAGTAAAACCCGAAACTATAAAATACAAGGACAAAGCGTGAGCAGACATTAATGAAGTCCGCACTGGGGAGGTCCCCTAGAAACATGGCATAAAACCCAGGAGCGATAGGGAAAGATTGATAAGTTTGTCCACCCAAATACAAAACTTCCATCGGGCGGGAAATACAGCATGAAAAAGATAAATGCCGGGTTGGAAGGAATATTGGCGTCGCACGTGGCTCTCAAAGAGTTAGTGTCCTTGGCGAAGAGCTACCCTTGGGTCAATGGGAAACAAACAAGTGAGGGGAAATTGACAGTAAGGAACACAAGCAGGCAGTTCACGGATAAATGACCCGCCTGTAAACACTGCGAGAGAGGTCCAGCTTCAGCGTGTAATTGAAGAGATGTAGATTAAAATCCAGTTCCAGGCCTCCCTGGATGCCTTACCCAGCCCAGCATCTCCAGAAAGTTGAGCCCCGGTTTCCATTTGGTCAATGACAACATTCTTCCCAAGGTCCCGAAAAAGCCTTGGTTAGCCCCGGATTTGGCTCTGAGCTGGGGAGATGGAGCCTGCTCCCAGGCAAGCTCTGTAATTAGCAAACCATGTGATTATCCTTACCGTGTAAACATTATCCCGAGTGGGACTTGAAGATGTTTCTTGGAATCCTCTCCTCCTGACCTTTTTCCTCGGGCCTCTCGGCATTCAGAGTAGTTGAAAGTTTACACTGCGAGGTTCCAGAGGCCACAGCGCAGGGTTTCCGGGTTTTCTCCTTAGTGCTATTCTTAGCATCACTCACCCTTGAGAGGAGCGAAGCCTGGGGCCCTCTGACATGTGAGCGGCATCTCCTCCCTCCTGCCCTTGGGCCGCCTGCCACAAGCCCATCCCGACCCTGTAGGACGCAGTTCACTCCCCACTTGACTGACGCTCCCACCCTGATTGCAGGGTCCCTTTCCCACTGAGCTGTGTCCCCTGAGCAGAGGTCTCTGGGCACTCCTGTCCTGGGCTATGACCGGTAGCTTCTAGTCTCCAGCCCAAACGCCTACCTGTGTGGCACTCTGTACCTACAGGAGAATGGGCCTGAATGGACACAAAGATCAGGGGACCCCTAGATTGCCCAACAGCAGGTGGTGGGGTCTGCTGGCCAGGGCGAGAGAAAAACGAGCAGTCTGACCCATGTGGCCTAAAAACACCCCTTCTGAAGGTCGGCTTCTGCTATCCAAACCACCCTCATGCACATGGCCCGGGGCAATGACTGTGTAAATAAAATGGACTCAGAAGATCACAGCTGGGGAGTTCAGGGTATGGTGGACCGGTCCGTGCCCTCCAGCTCCCTGTTCACATGTCGGGGTTCAGGGCATGGAGGCCTTGAGGAGCTCTCAGCTCTGCTTCCCAGGGAGACCTGAAGGAGGCTGGGCCCCTCCTTTTCCCCAGCCCCTGGGGAAGGCTTCCTCTGGTATTCCTTTCCATCTTTCTCCAGCCTCGCTGCTAGGCAGCTCACTGTGGGGAGAATCTCACCTGGAGGACCCCAGAAGAGTGGGAGGGAACCCACGGGCACTCTGGGAGCAAAGGGGACTCAGTCTAACTTCATGACCTCCTGGCCCATCCTCACTCCTCTCCTGCTCTTTCCAGGGTCAGCCGGGCACTCGAGGTTTCCCTGGATTTCCGGTAAGTAGGGAGGGCTGAAATGGGCTGTGTCCCCGGTAACCCCTGGGCCTGGCTGGCTTAAGCTTCATGTGGGGCCAGCCCTCAAGCTGCTCTTGACCTTCCAAACTCTGGTCAGTAAGGACCCTTTCCTGCAGCCTCTCCCGGAGAGCCACTGAGGAGAGTAGCTGGCATTTGGCCCAGATCGCAAGAGAGGACAGAGACAGTCATGGGGGAAGGAAGTGACAGCAGGACAGGGACAGGCGAGGCAAGTCACAGGCTGGGTAAACCCCAGCAGGACACGGGAACATGGAACAGATGACAAACCTCAGGAAGCAACCGCTGACCGGGCTTGGAGAGGAGACCTGCCTGCACGAGGTGGTCATGGGGCCATTCAGATGCTTGTGACCCCTGCCCCAGGGGTCCAAGACAGGTTCTACGATGGAGGGCAGGGGAGCAGCTAGCTCTTCCTTTTCCCCGGGCGTTGGTGTTAGCCATCCCCAGGCTCTCTAGCAATGTATAGTTCACTTTGCAGTCGGCAGGGGGTCGGGAGTAGGAGCTAGGTCTGTGATCGCCGTGGTGACTGTCATCCATCAGGCTGTCCCTCGTGCCTGGTAGAGGACAGTGGCACTTCGCTCACTCCTCACAGAGACCCCTCTATTAACCCCACTGTAGAACAAGAAACTGAGGCTTAAGCTCACCCATGGTCATATAACCAGTAAGTGGTCAGGCAGACCCTTGAACTCCAACTTGGAGTCCAGAACCTGTGCCCTTAACCACAGCCCGGGCAGCCTCTTTGGCAGGAAACCTGCGCTGCTGTCTTGACACGTGGCCTCTTTCCTCTTTCAGGGTCCCATTGGGCTCGATGGCAAACCGGTGAGTGGACCCTCTCGGGCTGGGAGCTCCTCTCCCTCACTCAATCAGGGTCAATAGCCCAGGTCCTCAGTCCTTTGGAAAGACCCGAACTCCATGGGAGAAGCTCCAGAGCGAATGAACGTTCCCAGGGCGGGAAATCCTTGCCCGTGGGAGGCACAGAGGGGCTGTTAGAATGAGTCGCCCCTGACCCCGTGGGCCTCCCCGGGCACAAGTCCACGGCCACCAAGCTGGGCTCTCGGCATCTGGGGCAAGAGCCACCCCGAGAAGCTGGTGTTTCTGAGGCACCCGAGGAAGGGGCTGAGGTAGGGAGTGAGGCAGGGCGGCAGCAGGGAGGGAAGAGGAGCAGAGAGCTCAAGGCCCTGACTCTAAATGGAGCGTGGAACCCCCTCCCCACCTCTCCCCAGCAACGCCGGAGGGCTGCCTTCGCCTCCCTGTCTCCCTGGGTCCCCCACCCCAGTGGAGGCCCCCTGAAACCCTCGTCCACATGGACCCTGTGTCCCCATCCATAACTCCTCCTCTGTCCATTTTAATCCTTTGGGCTTGGACCCCAGACCCAAATATTCATGGGGGAAAAAGACCCCTCCCCACTCCCCGGAAAGAATGAGCTAGGGGAGAGCTCTGGCCCTCTGGCCCTCAGAGATGACCAGGGAAGGCAGGGAGAGCCATGCCCTCGCCTCAACCCTGAGCCACTGGCGGCCCCCTGATGAGGGTCTGGCCGCCCGCCTGGCCGGTCCCCCACTGCAGGCCAGAGCTGAGCACAGCGAGGGGTCTGGTGGCCTTTCCCACTCAGCTCCCAGGACCCGGCGTGCCTCCAAGCGGCCCGGGGTGTATGCACAGAGCAGGGCTCTTGGGGGGCTGGCGGCTGCTAGGTAAGACCCAGTGAAGGGTGGCGGGCAGGTGCCCAAGCCTGAGCCAGTGGGTCCAGGGGAACGAGAGGAAAGGTGAGGAAGAGAGACGTGGGCAAATGAGCAGTGGGCGATGGAGAGAGGGCAGGGCAGGGGCTTTGGGGTGCAGTTTACCCGCGCTCACACTCCTCTCCTTCCAGGGCCACCCCGGACCCAAAGGGGAGATGGTAAGATCCCGGCTTTCCTGCTTTCCCTTTGGGGGTCAGGGGGTGGTCAGCCTGGCCCTCATGGTCCGCAGCCAAGCGCCACCCAGCAAAGGAGGCCCCCAGGGACCATCCAGCAGCTGCCCCCACAGTCACTCCCAGCTGTGTACAACATATCCCGCAGGTCCTCATGTAAACACAGTGGGGAGAGGCAGGCAGGGGGCTTCTCTGCCTGAAAAAGGAGGAAGAGGAGGTCCAGAGAGGTCCAAGGTCGCCAGTGCCCCACAGCGGAGGCAGGTGCGCCCAAACTGCCGGCCTTTGCCTCAGAGCTGAATGTAAACTCAGCATGGGGGGGGCATCCAGCACTTTCTCTGCAACCGGATTTCCTCCTAGCCCGACCCTGCTCGGGGCTGCCCCAGGACTCTCCATGCTCCTGCCCCAGCTGGGCACAAAGCCGACTTGCCCCCACCTTCCTTCCCACCCTTCCACTTTCAGCAAAGCCTTGTAAAGGGATTTCCTGTCTCTCTGGTCTCCCCCAGGCCCCTCCTTCCAGAAGGGAGAGCCGACCCTTGTCAGGAGCCGCCCACTCCAGGGGAGGGGGCCAGTTCTCCGTGGAAGGGATGGGCCATTAAGAGTAGATGAGCCAGTCCCAGGCTGGGAAGCTATCCAGCCTCCCCGGGTGGTCACCTCTACATTGGGAGGACCCTCCCTCCTGCGGAAGGGCCTGGAATGTGCAGCATGGCAAGGCTCCCCGTCTCCCTGCCCAGCGCGGCTCTGGTGTGTGTCTTGCTCCAAGTGCAGGCATGAGGACACTCTCCACTCACAACCAGGGTGCAGCCATGGCATGGGAGGCAGGAACCCTGCCCATCGAAACAGGTGGCTAACTTTGTGGATGGGAAAGGAGACCTGGCCTTTCCCCCAGCTCCCCCTACATTGCATGGGACCCTTGGCAACTCAGCTCCCTCTGGGCTTTAGCTTGTCTGGTTAACTCAGGCCCAGTTCACACTCGCTGAGGGTTTTCTATGAGGTGGGCACAGAGCTAAGTACTATGCGTGCCTCATCTCCTTCATCCTCAGCATAAGCCTTGTGCTCCAGGTCCTACTAGTAGCCCCCTGAGAGCAGTGGGAACTGAAGCTCAGAGACGCTAAGGAACTTGCCTTAAGTCGCACAGCTAGGGAGCCTCAGAAACAGGATCCAAACCCAATTCTCTAATTCCTTCCCTCCATGTTTTATGGCCCTCCATGTTTTATGGCCTCTCTTCCTCTTTCTTTCTTTTTCTCCTTCCCTATCTCCCTGCCTCCTGCCTTCCCTGGACACGTTCTTATTGAGTATCCGCACTACGCTGGGCACTGTGCCAGGTCCCAGGTATAAGGGAAACACTGTCCTTGCCATCCTGGAGCTCACTGTCTAGAGGGGGAGCATGCATTTGAACAATCCGATGCATAATTAACAAATTACCTTGGCACAGTGCTATAAAAAGGCAATGCCAGGTAGCCTGAGAAACCTCCATGTTACAGCATGTCACCCGGAGTTAAGAGTCAGAGAGACTTTCTGAGAAAGACATGAACTGTGGCCCAAGGGATGAGGGTTTAACTAAAAGAAAAAGGAAGGGAAAGAGCATCTGGACATGGGAGAACAGCATGTGCAAAGGCCCTGAGGCAAGCAAGCCCTTAAAATATCCACAGAGCTGGAAAAAGGGCAGTGAGGTTCTGGGGGCCATGGGTCGAAGAGCTGGCTTTGGAACCCAGGTGTCCCTTCAGCTTTCCTGTCCATCACGGCCACCCCCACTGCAGGTGCATGACGTGTTGCCCCTCCCCTGTCTCAAGCATTGCTCTGTGCATGCGTGAAGCAGTGGAGACCAAGGCAGGAACCCTTCTATACTGCCATTGTTCCAGAGGCGCTAGGGTTCAGATGTCAGGAGTTTGGGGCGCTTTTCCCTCTACCCCTCCCCGCCACCTTCTTCCCCTTCCTTGTGGCCCGACGCTAACCATAGCACAGTCTGTGGCAACCCAGAAGTCATAATGATAGTCAACCAGGCCCTGCTCTGTAATCCTTGTAATAGCTTATTATCCCCACTCTACAAAAGCGGAGACTGAGGCACAGAGAGGTTGAGTATATTGCCCAAGCCTCCACGGCTTCTAAATAACCGAGCTGGGGCTGAGACCCATGGGGTGGGACCTTACCACACTCCTTTCTGTGGCCAGAGCCCTTTGTCTTGAGGGACAGGAACCATTCTATGGAGGCACTTCCTTTGCCATCCCACCGCCCCACCCCACTGAACCACCCATGAGTCTCCCCTGTCTTTGGGGGTCTGAACTAACTTAGGGGGGAAAGGGTGAGGACACCCCATCTCCCATGAGCCCACACCAATGTGATAGATCCCCTGTCTGCCTCTTAGTCATCCATCAACATCTGACAGACCCCAGAGCCATTAGGCTTCTGTTTGGCTTGGCACAGGGACTCCTCGCTATTAATTCAACACACTGTCTAGTGTAATTATCTTGGCCTGCTTATCATCCGCCTGTCTCCCACTCACCTCCATCCCCAGATGGTTTCCCCTCTGCTAGACATGCAGCACAGGGACCTGGGGCTCATTCACATGCTGAACCTTGTCCTCACCTCAAAAGGGGATCGCCCCTGCCCCATCCACCCCATAGGAGCCCCCAGAACCAAATGGAAGGTGTAGACAGGCCTTGTGCTAAACACCTGGCCAGCCACATGGGTCACGGTGCTGCATGGGTGGTCCAAAGTCCACTTGTCCCCTCCCACGAACCTGCTGAGAATTTCCCGATTTGGTGGTTGGTCCAGTTGACAAGTCGGGGCCCCTCCAGGGAGATCCTGAAGAGATGGGTCCAGCAGATGGAGTCTCACAGGCCCTCGGGATGGTGGCTTAAGGGGACCTCAGGGCTCCAGGGGCTGAGGCACTGCCTGTGGCTCCAGCCAAGTCTAGAAGCCCTGCCTTCTGAGCCCCAGCCCAGTTTGGAGAGCGTGGCGGAGTGGAAACAGCTGGACATTTGCCGTCAGAAGACCCAGGCTCTCGTCCTAGCACCCCCGCTCACTGAGCCTCAGGGCCCCTCTCCATCATCTTATCTGGGAGGTGGAGCAGACATGAGCATCTTCTCCGGGGGCCGGTGCGGGTATGAGTTCAGCACATCCTGAAAGCCTGCCTCAGAGCAGGTCTTCAAAGCATGAGGCACATGTCCTCCCTTCATCCCTCCACATCAGCCTCAGGTCAGCTCCTGAGACAACCAGCTGAACCCTGCATCCTCCTCAAAGAACAGGGGTCCACCCTGAACCCAGGCTTCTTTCTCAACCCTGCAAACCTGACAAGACACCCCAGAAGGAGCCCCAAGACCACTTAGGTTCCTCTGAGGGGTCCAACCTCCTGGGTCCTCTCTTCACCAAAGGCTTCTCCAAAGCACCCCTCCCCGCCAACCATGTACCCCGAAGCCCTTCTGACTCAGTGGGTTTCATGCTGAGGCAGTGCTGGGTGGAAGACAGAATGTGCTGGCAGGGTCTCCTAGAGGCTTTGGACTTCAGCTTCTTGGCCCCATGAGGAGATGGGCATGCGTGAGGCAGGGCAGCCCACAGCAAAGAGAACCACCTGAGGTCTCCACGTACCCCCCTTCATGGCTGGCCCAGGAGGGGACCATGGAGGGACAGAGGAGGGATGGCGTCTGCTCTTCATCATGGCCACGTGCGGGCGCAAGTCACCGAGTCATACCCACTGATGGAGGAGGAAGCTGAGCCGTCCTGAACAGGCCACACCCCCTAGAAGGTCTTGGGCACAGGAGGACCAGGCCGTGGGTGGAGGCCGGCCTTCAGGACTCCGTGCGTTCGCACCAGTCCCAGCATGAGCCCCAGCGGGGCCCCCACCTCTGAGCCTGCCAGGCCTCAGTGTGCCCACTGACTCGTGTGTGCTTCCTCCCGCAGGGCCTGACGGGTCCCCGAGGACAGCCGGTGGGTACCTCGCCCTTGCGTTCCCCCCACCCCAGGGAGGCTTTGGGGCCCTGTGGCCTTAGCTTCACGTTCTGACTCTGCCATTTCTGTCTCTTCACAGGGACCTCAAGGACAAAAAGGAGAAAAGGTAAGCTTGATGGAGGTTTTCTAGAATCTTCATAGCAGGAAACAGCTCCCCTAAAGAAGAAAGCGGTCCGAAGTGGTTATGTTCAAATGTTCGTGTTTATCCACAGAACCGGGCGTCCTCGGGGGTGGTGCAGTGGATGAGAAAGAAGAGGGAGGGCGCTCTGGGGCAAGTTCTGTGCTCGGGGAGGAGCAGTGGCCAGGAACCCGGCCCTCCCCGGACTCCTTGTCTACCCCAGGTGCTTCCTGACGCGCCACCATGAGCCTCTAAGGTTTTGAGGTATCCATTTGTAAACCACTGGCCTGGCTCCCTCTCTGGCCTCATACATTCTCCATTTCCTTAAATTTCTGATAGAGACACTGCTGGGCTGGCCTTGAGAGAATGGTACAGAGACCTGGCACCCCCATCTCAGAGAAGGTGTCTCCCAGGGCCCCCAGGGCCCATAGCTCACCTCTGTGTCTGCACTTCCCATCCAGGGGTTCCTGCTCAGGGCTGCTGGTGGGGGGGGGGGTGCACACCCAGAGGGCCGACCTTTCTGCTATCTCCAGCCAGGCATGGAGCATGGCTCCTGACTGTGGTCATGGCAAGTGGGATAGGACAGCAGAATCCTGCCCTATGTTGCATGGGGCCATGTCCAAGCAGGCCTTCAGGGTTTCTTCTCTGCTGCCAGCCATGAGTGAGGGAGAGGTTTCGTTCTCCTGCCTCCGGGAGTTATGTCCCCGATCAGCACAGGGCTGGTGAGCAGAGAGGACGTGTGCTCCTAGGGATGTCCCTGAGGCACAATTTCCCCCGAGTGCCTAACGCCCTCTTCTCCTTCCCTCCCTTTCTTCCCCAGGGTCAATGTGGAGAGTACCCACATCGGGTAAGTGAACCCCTAAAACAGATCCATTTCTGGGGCATCACCCCCAGTTCAGCCTCATCTACCTGGGGGCCCCAGAACCCCCAGAGGTTGGAGACTAGAGGCATCCAGGCCCCCCCTGCACTCAGCAGCCAGAGCAGTGTTCATGGGGGCAGGTAGCCCCCGGGAGTGTGCCTGGTGGTCCGTAGTGTGCTTGACCGGAGCTGGTCTCCAGTGGCCGTGTTCGCCCCCCAAGCGTGTCTCCGTGTGTTTGCCCCTGCAAGGCAGCCTTCGGGACTGTTTGCTTGCAAGCCTTCCAGCGTGTGCATGCACCTGAACTCCAGGTTTCTGGCCCTATGTCCCCTCTGCATGTTGCCTTCTCCGTAAGGCCATGCAGCTTGTGTGAGTCCATGAGTCTGACTCCCTGCCGGGGTGTGTATGTATGTGTGTGTGTGTGTGTGTGAGAGAGAGAGAGAGAGAGAGAGAGAGACTGGGTGTGCGTGTTTGGCCGCCTGCCCCGGCTGAATCAGAGGGACTTTTGGGTTAGTCACTGTTGCAGATGATCCAGACCTCAACGGTGGGAGATAACTGAGGGCCAACTGTGTTGATTCAAGACTAGAGCCTCTGCTTTGGACTAGGACTGGAGGAGGTCCTCTCCAAACAGGGTGGGGGTTTCTGAGCTGGGATGGTCTCCCAGTCCCCCCACCCCACCCCAGGCCCCAGCTCCTTCCTTTGCCTTGTTTTGCCCTGGATGTAGAGTCCAAAGCCTGCAGCAGTCCTGTTAGGAAGCTGCAGACGTGAGCACTGGGAGCCAGGGGTTATCCTTGGGACAGGGAGGGTGAAGACGTGGGCCCTCCGGTGAAAGTCCCAGTGAGCTGGGAACAGAAACATGTCACTCTCAGACCCTAGTGTCTTTGGGTGCCCATCCCTATGCCACGGGCCTCACTGTGCCCAGAGGCATACACACGGTGTAGCCTCCCTGGCTCCCACCCCCATCAGGCAAGGAGACCAGGGAAAGAGGAGAGACAAGCACCAGTCGGGCCCAGAGTCACATGAATCCAGAAGGTCATGGGGAAGTGTCCCACCACCCAGACTCTGACCCCTGGGTTTCCCAGGCCAGCGAGAGGCTGCAGGGGTCTTCCCCATAAACAGCTGGGGCAGGGGTTGAAGCCAAAAGGGGGCTGGGTCCCAGGCAGGGGTACCAGACGGTAGCTGTGCAGACATAGCCTGTCGGCGGCCTGTGCTCCAGGGCCCTGGGGTTCCGGCCGGCCTGATCCTGGTACAATAACAGAAGGTCAGCTGTGCTGATTTGAAACGATGGGCTCATGGAATTGTTATGCTATCTGAAAGAAAGACAGTGTCCCCAGCACAAAAGACAACACAAAGCAGACATGTTGGCAGTATGTCATCGCTGGTCCTTAGTGAATGTAGGGGGAGGTGGGGGCAGCGGGAGGAGGGGAGGAAGAGAGAGAGAGAGCAGCGATAGAAGGCTCTAGGAGCACCTCGGCCATGGAGTACAGCAAAGCTATGGCCCTGGCAGGGGAGGGAACGAATCTGGCAGGGGTGACCGCAGATTTGGGTGCTCAGCTGTTGGACGGGCCAAGGCAGTGGGCACCCCATGTTGATCCGGAAGAGGGTAGGAAGAGGGCATCTAGGGAGAGGGCCCTATTGGTTTCCCAAGGGGTCTGCAGGAATGGTGGAGGGGTGGGCGTCCTCCAGGCCCACAGGATAACGAGAGATCCAGGGCTGGTCCCTGCCTCTGCTCCAGCCTGCAGCACCCCAGAGAGGGGAGGGAGGGCAGATGGAGTACTCTGGGGCAGGCATCAGGCAGGTGATGTCTGTGGGCTCCGGCACTCACGCCCCGGTCACCCTGTCTCCCAACTCGGTCCCCTCCCGCACCAGGAGCACCTGAGCAGCACTCTCTCGGCTCTGCGCTCCAACCAGATCATTACCCTGAAGGTTGGTGGATTCTGGAAGGTCTCCGGGCCCCTCTCTGCTGAGAGACTCCCCAGACCAGAACCCAACATTGCACGTCCCCGAGCCCCACAGTGGGAGGTAGCTGGGCTCTCGGGGCAGCCGTGGCCCCTAAAGGCGGCAGGGACCTGGAAAGACCATGAGTGGGCTCCCAGTTCTCAGCCCAGGCGGCCCCTGGTCCTTAACACTCATCCCAGGGGCCTCGTGGGAGTTAAAATGCTTTCAGAAACCAGAGGTCAATTATACACCATCTTTGTTGTCACGTGGGCTCTAACCATTTCCTAAAGCCTTGGGGCTCTCAGCTTCCATTGGTAGAAAAACTGGAAGCAAGGAGAATTTCCAGAAATGAAAATCACATTAGATAATGCAATTGAACGTGGCCTCTCCCCCAGAAGTGGTTGAACATGCCGGAGACATCCTTGCCCAGCCTTTATTTTCCAAACCCACCGGCCCCAGGGGCAGAACTTGGTAGCATTTAGCTTGTGCCCACACAGGCCACACCCTCAGCCGGCTCAGCCCCCAGAGAGCCCGACTTGGCACTGCCCTTGACCATCCTCCCCAGATCTGCTGACGCTAGCCTTTCTTGTTCAACCAAAAAAAGAGCCCAGAGGTTGCCACACACCCCCGCCTGGCTTCGAGTACCAATTTAGCTGGTCCTGTGGCTCTTGCCCAGAGCCTCTGTATCTGCCCCCCGCAGCCCAGCAGCCCCCGTCCTCCGCCAGGCACAGGCAGGGCCGGCGGTGCAATGGTGGGCTGTGTGTCAGGGGACCACTCTCCCCATTGGGGGTGCTGCTGGCCGACTCCCCAAGGGCCACACTCCTCCTTCCGGGATGGCTTGCAGTCCAAGGACAAGCTCGGCACTGCGCCCCTCAAACCGCGAGAGGGTGCCCTCCAGCCTTCCCTCCCCAAGCCTCGTGCCTGCTAATCACTCTTCTCTCTTCCTCTCCTCGCCTCCCACTTGGCCACCCTGCCTTCCTGGCGACATTCGGCATCCTTCTGAACACCTGCGATCTCTGGCCTTTGCCCTCTGGCCTTCCAACTCATCTTTCTCCTCAGCTGCTGCCTCTCCTCAATTCAGTGCGACTGGCTCCGCCCCCAGTCATAAAAAGACGGACCTTCCAGGTAGACACCTTCCCTTTGTCGAGACCATGCGTGGCATCCCCAGGGGCTGGGCAGGTCTCCGGGCCCCCAAGGGCCAGCTGGGACTGTAGACAAGGGCAGAGTCTCGCTCTGCTTCAGTTCAAGTCAATTAGACAAAACCGGACCCGTGAGTGTCATAGATGTGGAAGTACACAAGCCCAGAGCCCAGGACACCCCCAGCACCACACACCACACACCACGGCTCCTCGAAACACCCCGCTACAAGAGCCAGCCCTGGGTTCCGGCCCCCGCGCTGCGCATCTGACAAGTCTGATTTCCTTTCATTCTCTGGCTCGCTTTGCGATGTGGGCATGATCGTGCTTATTTCACAGATGAGGAATCAAGGCTTTGGGGACATGAAGGCCGTTGCCCGAGGTCACACACCCAGGACATGGCAGAGCACCCAGCTTCTCTGACTCTTCTGAGCTGTGGGATTGGGGACAAAAGCCTTAACCTCTCTGGGCCTCTGCTTTTTCACCTGTAAAACGAGGACATGAACGGTTGCTACTGCATAGGGCTGTTCTGTGTGCAGAGCACTTGGGGTCGTTCCTGGCATTGTTTCAGTGCTGTTCTCAGATTGAGGCCCAGAGGGGTGAATTTGTGCCCAAAGTCACACAAACAGTGAGAGGCAGAATTGGAAGCCGGGGAACCAAGACTTTAGACCCCACACTCAGGGCTCTGTCGGTTGGACCTATACCCTTTATATTTAGAAAAGGGTGGCTTAGCACCCGATCCCTTGTAACCTGAGTTTGAGGAGTGAGGGCATTTGCAGAGGGAATGTAGCCCACGACCAACAGGTGTCATCGTTGTGAGCAACTGCTTCCTTCTTCCTGCCTTATGAACCCCAGGAGGCTGCGATAAGACCAGGTTACAAAGAACAGAACACAAGAGAGCTAGGGAGCCAGCATAGGCGTTGCACCTGGATTCTAGGCCGGGCGGCCCACAGCCCTCCTTACACTGTGCAGGAGTTACCCCCAAGGCCGCGGGGATGCTGGAAGGGGCTGCGCTCAGAGATGCTCTCTGAAAGCTGGACAGCAGTGCCCAGAGCCACCATCTGGCCATACTCAAGAGTCAGGAGCCCAGAGTCCAGCAGTTCAGGCATCTGACTGAACAAGGCTGAAAAATCCCTCCAATTAACAGCTAAAAATACAGAGGGACACATGACGCGTGTGCTACCGGAGTCCACATATCCCATTACAGCAGCCAAATCCTCGAGAGCCTTTATGGGCTCCCAGCTCCTACTCCAAGCACGGCCCTTCGGGGGGGCCCCCTGGCAGCTCAGAGAAGCACCAGCCCCCCAGTCACCCACTCCTCCCTGTGTCAGACCCCATTCCAGAAGAGCCGTCCTTGCTCTCAGACTTGTCGCTCACCTCAGCCTCCAACAGCCATCTCCTGGCCTTAGTTGCATTAGGCACCCATCATGCCCACCTTATGGACGGAAAAACTGAGGAGGTGCCCAGAACTCCATCCAGGCCCCTGCACATTATGGCCTCCCTTTTCAAGAGCAAGGCGTGCGCTAGCCAGAACTTTCTGTGCCGCCCTGAGCTGGTTTCCAAAGTAGAGAGGGAAGCGTGGTGGCCCGTGCTGGGCCCGCCGCAGAGTCTGCCTGGAGAACAGTGCTTTTCTGCCCCCAGCCATCATGGGACGTAAAAAGGTTTGTCCGTTTCCTATCAATAAACCAATATTGATTTTACAGGCTCTGTAAGACGCTTAAACATTGAGTGTAACATTTGCCGAAAGAGGAAATTATATGAAATATGATGTACTTAGCAGATGGTGTTGGAGGTCATTTCCTAAGTGCAGAAAGTTGGACAGTGAGCAGGTTTTTTTCTGGGGGCTTACTTGGAATGACTAAGAACAGTCTGGAGTTCTAGGTTTGGTCCCAGGTCGCCACGGGATTCTCGGCCAGGGAGCTCAACCTCTCTGAGCCTATTTTCTCTTCCATGCAATGGGCCTCGTGACCCATTTGTACTCCAGCCCCCTCCCCCACGGACACTCTATGCCCTTGAGTGGCTTCTCAGAGGGTAGAGGAGCCCGGGCCCCATCCTGACCGTGCTGTGTGCCCTCTGCACTAGGACACCCCAGCCCAGCGAGGGACTGCAGGTGCTGCTGGAATCTCCCAGTTCTTACCCTGAGGTTGCTCACCCCATTTCTACTCATCTTTTCCTCCCATGAGGTTGCAGCAGGAAACCGCAGCCCCTGTTCCTGCCCCAGAGGGCTGCAGAGAGCGCACCAAGAAGGCTGGACGGCCTGCAGTTCTGGCCGCCCTTGTCCCCCAGCAGCCCAGCCTGGAGCTTGCACACCTGTCAGGCTCTTCTGCTTTGGTCTCTCTGCAGGGATGGGCCCCTTCTCACAGGAGCTGAGCCCAGATGGTCCCTGGAGTGCTCACTTAGAAAATAACACGACAGCTTCGGGCTAGATCTAGGATGACCCCGGTTGGTCCCCGGCTGGTCCCCGGCCCCAGGAGGTGCATCACATGGACCAGGCTCTCTCCTCCTCCTCCTGAGGGAACACGATGCCACCCCCAGCTCCCTGAGCCCCCAGCCCCTCCTGGACACAGGCACAGTGGGTGACGGGGGCTGGGCTCAGACCAGCTGACTGACGAGTGCGGGCAGGACGAAAGAATTCTCCTCAAGACCCACGCAGGCATTCGGCGCTTATTTTACAGTGTCAAAGTCAACCAAGCTCAGGGTTGCAAACACAACTGTCCTGTGAGGCTGGGCACGGATGACGGAAGAGACAAAAGCAGGCCGCAGGCAGAAAGAATGGGGGAGGGTGACTGGGCATCCGGGGAACCCAGGCCACACCTGAAGGGTATGACTGCCTGCGGGAATGTGGGCCTCCCGTGCCAGGGCTCCCGGTGTGACATCAGAAGCCCCCAGTCCAAATGTTTACACAACATCTTTTGTCCAGCTGTTTAGTGAGCCAAACCAACTTCCATGGCCTCTGACCTAAGGACCCCTTGGACACTGGGGGCAGAGAATCAGACAGCAGAAACAAGGAACTGCTGCTGTCATTCGATGCCTGGGAGGCCCAGCGTAGCCAGAAGATGTCACCGCCACGTGGAGGGAGGGGCTGAGGCAGGCCGGGCTGAGGACCCCTGGCTAGACCCAGGCACCTGAGTGGGCCCGGAGAGTGCCCACTATCGGGCAGGGTCACCTCGCTCATGCCTCTGTCTCTGCCCCCAGCAGGGCTCTTGCTCTGGGGCTGTTTGTGCAGCCGGTCCTCTCTGGACCCCCCCCACTCTTGGGGACCTAATGTCTTGACCATCTCCTTGCTACCACGGTCCCTGCATGCAGTCGCCGCCACAGCCTCACCACCGTCACGCCCACCGCCTGCCCACCGGAGCCCACCACGGGCCCTTCACCGGGTGCATGGCACTGGGGCGGGATCTGGTCCCTGGACCCAGGGCTCTCCCTCTAACTCTTGTTTCCACCAACATCAGGGGGAACAGGGCCAGGCCGGCATTCAAGGCCCACCAGGGCCACCAGGCCCCCCTGGACCGAGCGGACCCCTGGGGCCCCCAGGACTGCCAGGGCCCATGGGGCCATCAGTAAGTATCTCCTTCCTCTCTCCTTTACCCCCTCTCCCAAGATTTGTCCCAAGCATTCTCTGGAAGCATCCAAACCTTATATCATTGACAAGAACCTGGGTCCCCACCCAATGGGCAGAACACCTTGGCAAGGTCAATGGCTGTGGGGGGCTGGTGCGAGTAGCTGCCCAACCTGCCACACTCAGCCATCATACTCTGGTTCTGACCCAGCTGCTGGGGCCAGACCCCAACGGCAGTCATTGCCTTCCAGGGAAGGAATCCCCCAGAGGCTGCCCCTTTCACTGTTTTAGATTCCCAGAGGTAGAATTGCTGGGTCATGCTGTGCCAACAGGTGCCTCCCTTCCTCCAGGCAAGACCACACTCAGGCAGGAGTAGGTCAAGCCCAGGGTCCACCAAGTCCCCCTTTTCCAAGTGCTGGCCAAGACCCCGCTCTCTTGACCTAGTTGGTACAACAGAGCAGCTGGGCCGGCACCTGGCCTCCTTGGCAGAGATCGGGTTCTCTTAGTCTTAGAGCCAAGACAGATGTCCTATGTCACTGAAGGGACAGGATTAAGGACAAAGTCTGTCTCATAACGTTTCTTTCACGTGATTGAAAAAGAACCTGGTTTTGTTTCTTATGACAAAAGCATCATGCGTGCAGTGTGAAAAATTGGGAACATGGACAGAGAAAACGTTTTGAATTGTCTATTTTGCCATATCCCGAGTTCACTGTCATTAGCAACTTGGAGGGGTCTGGCATGTTTCTCCTTAGACTTGTCTGCCCCTAAACACTTTCCAGGTTGGTCACGTTCTGAGTAATGTAACAGTTTGTGCCCCATTATGTTTTTCATTTAACACCGCAAACCACACCCTTTCTTTGGGCTGGAGTCTCCCGTGATACGGATTTTGGGGCTGCTGGGCTGATTTCCAAGTAGTTAATGATGATATAGATTTCCAAGTAGTTCTGTGATATAGATCCCTGAATGTAAATGTTTGTGTCCATCTCTGGTGCTCCCCATACAGTAGATGCCCAGCATTGGAATGGCTAGGTGGGCCGTGTCCCTGCCACTGGCCCCCGTCACTCATCGAGCACGGCCGCTTCCCCTGTCACTGGGCCCCGTGGCGGCTCTAGCTGTGCTAGCCCCGTGCTGAGGCTCCGTGGAGGGCCCCTCTGGGCCAGGCAGCAGCTCTGACCAGCCAGGGCACCCAGCTTGGCAGCTCCACTCAGCGTGAAAGCCTTATTTCCCCACTCTTCTGCGCAGCTTGACCCCCACAATGGATTTTAAATATTTCTGTGTTTTGGGACCCCGGGAAGGAAGATTAGTCCCAATTCCCTGGGTTTGTAGATGGGAAAATGGGAAACCTGAAACGAAGTGAAATTTAGGGAACTAAACCCAACCACGCTGAGAGAACCCCCAAGAAATACTCAAAATCCGCTCCTTGGCTGACCGCTACACTCCACCCCCAGACATGTGGAGTTCCCACTCGTTGAACGAACCCAAGCCCGGTGGTTTTCTTCGTTAGGTTGTTTGTAAAGAAAAAAACCCAGGAAGCGTGTTTTGAAACCCACGGACACAGACCAGACTTGGCCATCTTGCTTTTCTCCAGCCCATGTGTGCTGCCCAAACCTCGGCCCCAGACCACGGTGGAGCCAGCCGGCCCTCACCGCTCCCCTCAGGCTCCCGCAGGCCCGGGGCCCACACCACCTCCCCACAGCCAAGGCTGTGGTCACAGCGCCCCGGGCCAAAGGAGACAGAAGCCTCCCCCAAAAGCTGGCAGGGCCAAAGGCAAAACCAAGGCTCTATTGGGCAAGGTCGGCGTCCCAGGGAGGGGACCCAATTAGGAGGCGGGAGGGCAAGGGTATAGACCAGACCACACTGTCATTTTAACCGGCTGTTGCTGACCTATTTTCCAGTGGGTGAGCACAGTCGAGATGCCCACGGTGCCCACGGTGCCCACGTTGGCTCCAAAGGGAGCTGTGAGCCTGTCGTCCCCATGCGCCCTCCGCAGGTTTCTGACACTGTTCCAGGATCCTTGAGCTCTGTTCTCTAGCACATCCAGAGCTCAGAACCCCTGGAGCACTCCTCTGCCCCGAGACCCCGTGGTGGACATGACGACATGCTCTGTTCGCAGCTAGATTCCATCTCCTCTCACCTTGCTCTTGCTTCCACAGGGCTTACCCGGGCCTCCTGGACCAAAGGTGAGGGCCCTTCCAGGTGATGCGGCACGGGTGGGTGGGAGCGCTCTCTGCTGGTGGGGGAGGGGAGACGGCCTGCCAGCTCCTGAGTGCGGAGCTGAGCTTGACCTCCGTGAGCGCTGCTGGGTCCCACCTGGCTCCCTTCACAGTGCCGCCCTCCTCTTGGGAACTGCTTGGGTCCCACAGAGCTTGCATTCGTGTGTGCCCGGCCACATCAGGCACTGTGACTGGTACGGAGGCTGCAGTCCCCACCTCCGAGGAGCTCAGAGTCTGGTTGGAAACTCTAGCCTGATGCCCGGGGCGCTGTCACAACATCCCAATAAGAGAGGCTTTCCTACGGATTCAGAACTAGAAGGGACATACAGGATCATCGGGCCTTTTAGGCATCCTTTCTGGAAACCCACCACATCAAACCAGCTCTCCCTCTGAAGCGGGGGACCCTGGGGTTCTGGGGACCAGAAGCTGCAAAGCACTGAACCTGTCCAACCATTTGCATGTGTGGAGGCTGAGAGCCCTTGCTAGGGAAGGGACTTGTCCAGGTTTGGCAGAGAGTCAACGGTGAAATCAAAACCAGAATCTAGGTCTCCTGGCCCCTGCCAGGTGGACCCTTTCCACCGCGCATCTGCAGGTGGGGATGTGTTTTGAAGAGAAGAGTCCCTGTTGGTTTCCAAGGATGCAGAGCTCTTATACCAGGGAGGGCTGGAGGACTGGTAGTCATTGAGAAGAAGAGAAACAGCAATGTGAGGGTAAGAGTGAAGCCAGAATGGAGCATCTGGGGAAATCCCACTGATGGTTTTCTCTTTGTTCCCCCAGGGAGACCCAGGAATCCAGGGCTACCACGGCCGGAAGGTAAGGAGGAAGGGGAGGGAAGGACCCTTGCCTCCCATGGTAACCCAAGTTGGGCTCCACCACAGCAACCACAGGGGCAGGACTTGGTCTTGTTCACGCATGTTTGCACACGCGCTTGCCCGGTGTGAACCTCACCTTTGTGAGGTGGGCTGGACAGGAGTTAGTGTCTCCAGTTGTGGGGGAGGGGGGGAGGCTCAGAGGGGCAGGGCCTCAGGCCATCAGTGGCCTGGCCCAACCTCAGACCCAGGTGGGTCTCCTACCACCAACCTGCATCCCTGTGTCTCTACCAAGGCAGGCCAGGTGCTCACTGGCCCCCAGATGGGAGCAGATGACCAGGGCCCACTCTGCACAGAGCTCCACACTGAGCCTGGTGGGGCTATGGGGCTGAGGGTTCCAGTCCTGCTTTCTGGCAACTCCCGGTCTAGAGAGACAGAAGGACTCCTGTACAAATAACGCAGCGAAGGCAGATTGTGCTAATCGATCATCACAAGGCATTGTGTGAATATGGGTGGGCGGGCAAGTAGAGAGATCAGTTCCAGGTTGGGAGGAGTCTGGGAAGTCTTCTGGGAGAAGACAGCCTGTGAGCTCCATCCTGGTGCCTGGGTGGGTGTATGTTACCTACAGAAACCATCCCAAATGTCCCGGCTTCACAGGATGTTTTCTCTCTCATTCTGGGTCTGTGGGTATGCCATCTGGGAGTTCTGCCTCTGTCCTCTGGGCTCACTCATTCAGTTGCACTGGATGATGGATGGAGGGGCCGGACGGGCCGAGCAGTCTAATCCACATGTTGGGTGGCTGGTGCGGGCCATTGTCTGGGGGGGCTGTTCTCCCCGCCATACCCTCTCAGCCCCCAGTAGGCTACACACATTTTCTTCCAGCGTAGTAGGCCCAGGGCAGTGTTCAAACCTGCCAAGTCTGAGTACACGAGAGCTTCCCCAAAGCATCTACAGCCATCACACTTTCTGGGGTCCTGCAAGTAATATAGCCAAGTCATGGGGCGATGGTGCGTGCGGTGAGGGAGAGGTATAGCAAAGCATTCGTGGCCATTTTTAACCTACCTCTGGGGTCCTTCAACCACCAAATCTGAAGGCACATGGCATGTTAGACAGGGAAACAATTTGAGCAAAAGCCCAGAGGTGGTCATTACGTTAACAATAATAAAAATAATCTTAGCCAGAGTCACCACTTACTAAATGCCTACCATGGGCCCAGGCTGTCCTTCCCTGGGACCGCCCTGTGAGGCTGGTACTCTTCTCCCATCTAACAAATGAGGCACCAGAGGCTTGCCCAAGAGTTCATGCCTCGCCAGGGGCAGAGCAGGAACTCAAGCCCAGGCGTGGGTCCTTCCCGGGGGCACCAACCACAGGGAGCCCCATACAGCACTCCGGACCCTGGACCCGGGCTCCAGGAGAAGACAGGAGGACAAAGAAGGGTGGGGGGTGGATTTGGGAAAGGGATGGATTGCAGGGGAGAGCACATTTCTCGCACTCTGTAATCGGGCAGCTGCCCTCACCTCATTGGTTATGGGTGCTTGGGGGTCGGGGGAGGGATGAAATGGCAAAGCCTGGGGACCGCTCATTAGCCCTGCATACACCGAGAAGTTTGTATAGTGTCAGGAAGTGGAAACGATAGCCTCCGTGGTTGCTTCCATCCACACACAAAGACTCTCAAGGTTTGCTGCCTCCTCGTGCAGGCAGAGGTCCCCCCGGGGTCAGGGTGATGCCAGTGGCTGGTGGGCATCTGCATTTGCGGGCCAACTGGAAATCTGGTTCATCCGGAAAGGAGCTGGGTTGGGGGGTGTCTATTGTCCTGAGGATAGAGAGGCCTGAACTTAAGGTTGTGGTGTCAGATGACTCCCAGGAGGCTACAGGTGCCTGTCCCACTGTCCCAGCCCCACTGGGGCCTCAGGTGTCTTGAGTCAGTGACCACTATCTCCAGGCAGAAGTTTGCTTCCTATCAGAGCTCTGAGATAAAGAGGCGAATGCCCAGGGTCAAGTGCGGCGATACTTGTCCTCTCTGGTTCAACCCAACTTCACTCAGTCCCCATCCCACCTGGTCCTTTCCATGGCCCATTAGAGCTCATCATCCGCCCTGCCCCCGCGCCCAGTGTCGATGAGAAGTTGCTGCTCTACCCATGGTGGTACAGCTGCTGAGGGGTCATGCTGGAACCGGAAGCCAGGTCTCACACGGCCAAGCACAGAGGCTAGTCTTGTCCAGGCACAGAAGTGAGTGCCTCCCCAGAGGGTCTCAACTAGGCTGAGCTAACCATGCAGCAACCCTCCTCCCTGTGCCTTCTCCAAAGCATGGAGGCTTATCTCCCGAACTCCTTCTTTGTCCGTCAGTTTTCTCTTTTTCTCTCTCCTCCTCTCTCGGCTTAGAATGGGGCATGGGGGTGGGGGGAGACAGCTGGCTCCTGGGAAGATGAGTTTGCCCTCACCCCACCATCCAGGGAGGAAGGAATGAGTGCTGGGGGTGGGCGGCAGGTAATGCCCAGCTGGACAGAAGCATGGAACAGCCCCTGTGTTTGGGGTATAAGGGGAACCCATGGGGGAAGGGAAGGACACTCCGCACCTGCTTCATTGCCTGTCCTGGAGACTCAGTCCGCGTGCAGGTAGCTCTTTCTTTCAGCAAAGGTAGAATTTAACTCTTAGCAAAGATGTTTCCTGGCCTGTGGAGTTTGCTAATGATAGTTCCACCCATCATCATGGCTGCTGCTACTGTCGCTGCCCCCAGGGCAGCTGGACCGCACAGCACCCTCCCAAAGGCCAGCCAGGCCAGCAGGGCAGACTTCCTCTCTAGCTCCTTCGGATCAAAGCCCAGTGGGGCCAGCAGGCCCTGCGCTGCCCCTAGCCCTGCTTGGGACCAGCCCTTCCACCCAAATATCCGAGGGGGGCTGCTCACCCACGTGGTACCAATGTGATCCGAATTAATGACCGCCCATCTACTTTAAGTAAGTTGTAAGACACAAAGTGTGTTTCAAACATTACTCCTTGGCTCTCTTTTAAGGGGATTGGTGGGTATGTATGTGCGTCACAAAACCTGCTGGGAGCTTATGTATAAGGGTGTTGGTGCTGGTCTGGCTGACTCTGACTGCCCTACAGGGCTTTCTCGCCCCTCCTCAATCCATCTGCAAAAGGGCCTGATCATTCCACTCTGCCGGGCAGAGCAAGGGGCTACATGGGTGGACACGTGTTTGCAGAACGACAGCTAGCATTGTTACAACTGCCTCACTGGCCTTTTCGACAGGCCAGCCGTGGGCGTGCCACTGGCCCCACATCATATTACTGAATCCTTAGAACAACCTGGAGAGGAAGGCTTTATTTTTGGTCCTGTTTCACAGATGAGCAAACTGAGGCCCACAGAGGTGAGTCCCGGAAGGTCCACAGCCAGGAAGTAGTAAAACCAGTTGTGTCTTATCCCAAATCCTTGCCCCGAATGACTTTACTATGTGGGCCTTCTGAGCCAGGAAAGGGGGCAGGCGCCGCAATTTCAGTTTTCCTGTAGGGCCTCCTCTCCTAGAAGGAAAGAAGGTGGGAGCTGGGCTGATCTCTTTCCTGAGGGAAAAGGCTAGGGCTGGATTCAGGCTTTTCTCTGAGCTTCCTAGGCTCTCTGTGAGCCAACCTTGGGGTCCTTGATGCATTTCAGTCAAAGAACCCAGGAAGTGGAGTGTCGGGCATGGGCACTGATCCCCCAAATGATTTCCACAAGGACTTAGCAAGGTCCTGAGACTCCCATTAAAGGCAGGAAAAGGCAGCTTGTCTCAGCTTGTCCCCCAGCACTGGACCCCTCTTGCTCTCAGAGGGCCTGAGGAACCCCAGGCCTCATGCGGCATTAGTGCGCAGCCGAGCGCTCCAGGCGAAGGACGCCGTAGATGGCGGGGTCTCCTAGGATGGGGACAGCACTTTCTTTCACAACCATGAAATCCCCCTGGGGACATCCAGACCATTTAAAATAAAGCCGACCAGGGATCTGAGACATGGGCCTCAGAAAGGAGGCCTGTCGGGGACTGAGAGTCTCAGCCCGCCGGCCTCCAGCCCCCAGCTTGTGCTCTCTGGGCCCTATTTCTCCCAAACTCCAAAGCCCACAGATTAATTAGAGCTGACTTTTCTTTTTGGAGCTAACTACAAAATCAACCGATCTCAAATCGAGATTACAAGCCAGCCGCCCTTCCAAAGCCCTGGCCTTCGATGGGGCGCCTGACCCCGGTAATTCCCCAGATTACTTCCTGCCGGTCCTAATTACCAGAGGAGCTGGCATCTCCCCCGTCCCAGTCCTCTCCTGTCTGGAGCTGGCCAGGGCTGCGAAGAAGGAAATGAGCTGCCTTTTCCTGGAAGGGAGGCCTAGGAACCCTTTAGGGCAGAAAGAGACATGAGCCCGCCTCACGGGCTTTCCCAGCTCAGGAAAGGGCCCTGGTCCAGGCCCAGGCCTGAGCCCCCTGCTGGCCTCCCCCACCCCCACCCACCCTCAGACAGGCCTTCCTCCTCCCTATAGAGAACAAAGAGTCTGTGTGTGGAGTGGCTTCACCCCGGCCCTCCCCAGGGCGCTGGGCTGCTAGGGAGATTCACCGGAGGGAGGTCCATTCATCTCCCCACACTCCTCCAGCCTGGCCTCTGCTTGGCTGGGGAGCTGACCTTGAAGCCCCCCACCTCCCTCCAGACTATGTCGTCTTGCCAAGTCCCTGCCCTGCTTTTTCAACAAATAGTAAATCACCAATTAAGAGGCCACTCCCACAGATCAGGAGCGTGGCCATTTGGGGCTTCAAGGAGCTGGCTTTCATCCTGTCTCAGTAACCAGGGGGTCCCTCCACCTGGAAGCCAGGACCAGAATAGAAAACCTACTGATGGTGCAAGGCGCTCTTTGCCCAGCTGGAGAGTCAGTGGCATCATGAAAGGAAGGGCTGGGACGGCCTTCAAGGTCATTCCAGGCAGCCCCCTCTCTACCCACCCGTGCTCACCCAGAACTTTCTTAGTCACAGTGACTGGAATCTACCCCTTGCTGGCCAGCAATCAGGCATGGGTTCTTGGCAGCCAGGCTCCTCGGTGGTGGGGTGTCCTGGCCTGGGGGTCTCCGACATGGTTTGCCAGCAGCCTCTGCCATCCATGCTCCAGGCCCCTGGGCAATAGGCAGAGTGCTCAGCTTCCCAGCTGCAGAGTGGACGGATGGGGTCTCTAGGAGCCCACCGGGGGAGCTCCCAGGGTCCTATTGGGAGGATAGAGAAGGCAAAGATAGAGGGGATAAACTGGGGACCTTGGACTTGGACAGACTATGAGAATTCTCTCTGTGCTTAAGAAGAAGACACTTGCAAGTTAGTGAATCTAAATTCAGCCCAATTCCAAACTTAAACCTTTTAAACAGGAACATTCTTAAGAAGGGAAATGGGGAAAAGGACCCTCACAAACACATACCAAGGGGGAAAACTGTGCAAACTGAAGTCATGGTCCCCCTTTTAGCCATAGCTGCCAGAAACCCCCTTCTCACCCCCTGCAGACAGGTGCCCTTGTCCACAGGCACCCTGAAGTCCTTGACAATGACACAGTCCTGTCTCACCTCACAGATCCAAGAACCAGTTGCTTCCTGGTGTCAGATTGGGCCAGTCCCTAGGGCAGAGGTCAGGCTGGGATAAGCCCCTCCTGATGAGAGTGGAATGAGCCTGCTGGGCGGGGTCAGCCGGGGGCACCCCTGCTTCCTGCCGGACACAAGGGTGGGAGTGAGGGAGGCCTGAGATGGAATCAAGAGATCCTGGGTCATCCGTAGAATTAAGAGACTTGACCCAGAGGGGAGGTAAGGGGCGAAGGTCAGCCCTGCTAACGAGGAGGGCTGCCTCCTTACAAGGCTCCAGGGGGCCTGGATTTCCCTGGAGAGGGTGGTTTTGTCTTTGCCTACAAGCCCACAAAGGCTGAAGACAACCCCAATTAGCAGGAAACCCTCACTTCCCTGGGCTTACTCTACACTGCTCCTGCTGAGATTGGAGACAGAAGCCCAGAGATGGGGCTCGAGCAGAACCCCCCACCCCCCGCCTTTGCTGAAGCATTTACAGCTGTCCCTCTGAGTAGGAGGCAGGGAAAGCAGAGACCCACTGAGACTGGTCCTAGACCAGCATTTACCCCCCCACACACAGCTAAACTTCCATCTCCACAGCCTTGCTCTGCAGCCGCCTACAGACCCAACGTCCCCTTCCCCAGCTCCAACCTCTCTCCCAGTGAAAGGCCTCAGGTAGGCAGGGCTGGAGGTGGCTGGAGAAAGGGGTGGAGCCGTCGTGGGCAGATGGTCTGGAGTCTAACTCACTTCGCAGAGAAGAATCCTGGCCCTGAGAGGGAGAGAGGCTTACCTAAGGTCACACAGCCTCCCTGACTCCCAGCCAGTTGCCCCAGATGGAAGTGAGAGGAGGCGGACAGCGGCATTGAGGGAAGGCTGAGGGAAAGAGGAAGGGCCAAGCTCCCATTTGTACCTCCCCAACCATGGGAACTCTGTCTCCCGGGTGTCTTCAGGGCTAAGTCAACCTGGTTGGGCCAGCTGGAATGTTAGCAGGAGAGCCTGTTCGTCTGAAGGAGAGAGTGACAGGGCCCCTCAGCTGGGACTCCCAAGGAGGGGGCTCTGACTCCTTCGTGTTCTGACAAGGTTCTGTGGCGCCCTCTGCTGGCCACAGAGCAGATCTCCTCAGGCTGGCAGGGCCCTGCCCATCTCCTTCCTCCCGCCGGTGTATGGTTAAAGACCCAGCCCCCAGAGGAGCTGCCCTCCTATGTTGACCCCTTCACCCTGATGCGGCACGGACCTGAGGGCCCTCCAGCTGAGAGGGGCTTGAGAATCTGCCCATCGGATGCTTGGGGTTGACTTAGTGGGATGAGTACCTGGGCTTTAACAAAGACCTACGTTCCAATCCCTGCTCGGCATGACCTTAGCGATCATACGTGGCCTCCCTGAGCCAGTTTGTTCACCTGTGAAACAGGAATAAAATCCATTGTCACATTGGAGAGGAGTCTTGGAGATTGAATAGAGGAAAGATGGAAAGTTTTAGCCTTGTACCAGGCCCATGGCAGACACAGTTAATGGCCTGCAAGAGGGATTTCCCAGAATGCGGAGCCTGTGGCAGTGACTTGTCTGCTGTGTTTACTTCCTGAGGACGGCTCCACTCACCTTGCCTGTGGCTCCGGGGTCCTAGTGGGCCAGGGTGAGGAAGGGCTCCTGTGTTGGGAGCTAAAGATTCTGGGCGTTTTGCAGAATTCAGAGACTTAGCCCAAGGAGGATCAAGATGAACCATCCCAGGCAGACATGAATTTGTACACATCGATTACAAATGCCAAGTGGTCCCCCACTGCACCCAGGAACCAGCCCTGGGCGATGGGCATAACGAAAAGCTTCATAGAGGAGATATTTTACCACGGCCCCTAACAATGAACAGGGTATCGAGTTGAGGGAACAGCAGAGAGACATAGAATCCTGGGTGGCTCAGGTGGTTAAGCATCTGACTCTTGACTTCAGCTCAGGTCATGATATCAGGATCGTGAGATCGAGTCCCATGGGCATCAGCTCCATGCCTGACATCAGGGTGTGGAGCCTGACTTGCTGGGCAAGCAAGGAGCTTGCTTGAGATTCTCCCTCTCTCTCTCTCTCAAAAAAAAGGCATAGAGTCCTGAAAATGGGTGATTTTTTCCAGGGAAACAGGTGCTAGGTGTCAGGACGTCAGGTGATGAGGCTGGGAAGGAAGCAGAGGATGGAAAACCTGGCACCTCTTCTAAGGTCAAGGCCAGGCAGCGGCTGTTCGGCAATAAAGAGGTGTTAACTGTCCTGGGGAGCTTCCCTGCACGCCAGCACCAAGGCCCAGTCATGCAGGAGAGAGGTCGGAAGAAGTGCTAGCTTTGGCAAGCAGGAGGGTGGATAGGACTTCCCAGAAGATGGCAGAGAAGGGATGAGGGCAGCAGAAACGATGGAGGCCAGGTAGGACCAGTCTCCCGCTCTGCCAGTAAGCCTGTGGGAACTGCGGCCTGGCCTGAAGGCCACAGCTCTTGAGACCTGAGCGGGGAGGCTGGGCTGGGATACAGTCTGTCAGGACCCTGTGGTGCCGTGCCCAGCCTTCAGATGCCTTCAGATGCAGGGAGCTGCCACAGAGGGCTCACCCTGTCCTGTCACTGCTGGCATTCGGAGCCCCGGCTGGCACTTCATTTGGGGCTCAACTCACGGAGACAGGGGCTGCCTTCCTTCCTTTCCTGAGTGCCACTCCCTTCTCTGACACAGTGGGTTAGTCTTGACTCCTCTACTATTTTTTTTTCTTAAAGATTTTATTTATTTATTTGAAAGAAAGAGAGAGAGAGCACAAGCAGAGGGAGTGGCAGGCAGAAGGAGAGAGAGAAGCAGGCTCTTTGCTGAGCAGAGAGCCCGATGCGGGGCTCGATCCCAGGACACTGAGATCATGACCTGAGCCGAAGGCAGACGCCTAACCCACTGAGCCACCCAGGCACCCACTGACTCATCTGCCCTTGACCTCCATTTGTCACTGACTGTCATCTCCAACTCCATCTCCTTCCTGTCCTTCCTGAATTCGCATCCCTGCCCCACAGGTTTGGCATCTTCATGGGGAGGGAAAAGAGGTTGAGGAGAAAGACAGGACACCGCTGAGATCATAGAGCAAACCCCACGATGTCCCGAAGCCATAGCTCTCTCCTGGTGCCCCCAGATGGGTTCCAGACGGGACCCTGCCTCCACGCCCCAAACCACAGACTGGCCCTCTGCCGTGCCCGGCCAGGACCCATGAGCTCCCGGGAGGCCTTAGACTTAGCTGGGAGGAAGGGGAGCCCCAGATGAAGTGGAGAGGCAGGAGCCTGTGTGGCTCAGCCAACAGGTACCACGAGAGGAAAGCTTCTGGTGTGAGAATGGCACAGGAAGTACTAGGCGGCAGTGAGAGGGAGGGCTGCTCGGGTGAGCGGTCAAGTGCACGGAGCGCTGACCCAGCTGGGCCCCCAGGCTGGTAGTAGGACCTTCACAACTCTTCCTGCATCCGCTCCGGGACTCGGACTCCGCTGGCGAGACTGTCTGTCTCAGGGGCCCTTCTGTGAGTTCACGGAGCTCAGAGGAGCGGCCTGCAGTGGCTGTGGGGTCCTTGGAGCTCATCGTGAGCTGGACAGCAGTCCCTACCTTCCAGACCAGCCAGCAGGGAGATCTGGACACCCCCCGCAGGCCGTGCTTCAAGGGCCGAGGCCTCGGGCAAGTCCGGTCCTCTTCTCAGCGTTTCTTTTATTTCTTCCTTCAGGGAGAACGGGGCATGCCAGGGATGCCGGGCAAACATGGAGCAAAGGTACCTGCCCCTCCCTGTCCACCCCTCCCCCTGCCAGCCCCTCCCTGAGCTCCAGCCCTCTCTCCTAAGTTCTGAGACACCTGGGAGGCCCAGCTCCTTCTCCTTCCCAGGTCCGCTGTGGAGACATGAAGACAGGGTACATGTTTCCTCCCAGCCCTCTCTCCCTGCGGTGCCAGCCTACTCCGGGCGGGGGCTTCCGTTTGGCCCACAAGCCAGCACTCCCCAGGGCCCTCCTGATGTGGCCGGGCCTCCTCCCGGGAGTCTTGGTTAAGCCCAGCTCCAGCTGCCGCCCGCATGGGGAGTAGGGACTCCCTAAAAATCACCTGCCCTTGGGATTGACTAAGTGGCACATTGGGCAGCCTATTTACCTCAAAGTGGCTGGTCGTGGGCTGATGTGGAAATGGGGTTCACTCCCAGCTGCTCCCCAGTCCATGCGGGCACAGGTACAGAGAATTCTCTGGGAGAATCCCACCCACACACCCTCTCCCGTTCTCCCCTTCAACACGGCGTTCCCTTCTACCCCTTTCCCTTCCCATCTCCTCCTCCTCCTTTCCTTTCCCACTGAAGCCCACCCCACATGGCACCCCAGAGATACCCCGACCTGGACATTCCTGGGCTCCCTGCTGCGAGGGCCTGGGAGCCGAGCAGGTGGGTGGGAAGCTTGGGGGACTCAACTGTGCAGCTCAGAACCTCTGCCTTTCTGGGGACCCAAGCTCCCTGTGCCAAACTCTGCCACCCACCTTTGCCGTGGGTCTGGGCAGTGGGCAGAAGCAAGCCATCCGCCCTCGCACCCCCTCCGCCCCGCCCCAGGGGAGGCTGGGAGGCCGGCCGCTCCTTCCTTCCTTGCCTCAACTGTGGGGAGTCGCCACGCCGTTTTCTTCTCTCCACCAGGGAGCTCCTGGAATTGCTGTGGCTGGGATGAAGGTCAGTGGAAGGTTATCACTCCGCATATGAGGGGCACGACGGGAGGGAAGGAGAGAGGAAGACATAGTTGGGGCTTCAAGGACTCCGTGGGGTGGCCGCTGGGCCAAGGAGGGCGCAGACAGGATCCAGAAACATTTCTCTTAAGGCAACGTCTACGCCATTATGCACAACTTGACCAAGAGATGTTTTAACTGAGCCCTGCAAAGTACATAGCAAAGGTTTGCTGGCCTCAGGGAAAACAGCGCCCTGCCCATGAGCAAGGGAGCCCAGTGCTTTCCTTTATACCTTGGAATCCAGCAGCTGCATGCCCGCAGAGCTCCCGAGAGGAAAGCAGGAGTCCTTCCCCTGAACCCCACCCGAACCGCATCTGGTCACCGCATCTGGGGACCCCCAGAAGCACAAAGGTGGATCTCCCAGCAGGTCCACGGACAGGGGGTACCGTGTCCAAAGCCAATGCCCTTCCCTTCTCTCCGCCCGCTCTCACCCTTGCCACATTCCTCACCTGGGGGATGAATCGGGAAGAGTCCAGGCGGCCTCCTTTGTCCTGAGACCTGAAGCCTAGGCAGAGGAAAGTCCTGGGCAGGCCAGATGCTTCACACACCCCATGAAGACCTTTGCTCATTTACTCCTGCGTCAGCTTTCGCTCTTTCTCCTTCATCTCTTTACCGGAGTCTTCTTTGTTTTCACACAGGGTGAGCCAGGGACCCCAGGAGCCAAGGTACTGATACAGAGGGAATGTTCTGGGCTGCATGAAGCATCAGGCATGGGGGGAGGCGGCAGTGGCTGCTATTGTTATGCTCCTGGCTCCCCTGAGGCTGGCCTGGAGCTGGGGACCTGACTGAGCAGAGGAGGGCCCATCCAGGAGGGGCCTGCCGGCCAGGAATACCTTCCCCTCCCTGGATCCTGGCCTGGAGCTCGGTCAGTTTGCCTGCACACAAGCTCCAGCAGGCAGTAACTCCTGCGCCCTGTGCCTGCAGGGCTCTGTGTCTCTTGTCTCGTTCTATAAGGGATGTAACATGAAAAAAGTTTCCATGCCAAATAAGTTTGGGAAATATTGACTTAAAAGTATTTCAATTTTTGTTTTGTTTTGTTTTGTTTTGTTTTACTGCAGACCTTCTCAGAGCCTTTAGGAGGCTATATGTATCCTGGGGACCTCTAAAACTATAATCTCTGGTGCAGCATTTTCAAACATTTTGACTAGAGCTTCCTTTTTTAAAGAGGAACGTCATATGGGACTAGTATTCTGGAAACGCTAGTTTACCATCACTGTCCACCGTACCCCTCAACACCCCCCCAGTCCTCTTATCAGAGACTTTCTCTTCTTACCACAAAGGGAGATCCAGGAGCAGTAGGAAAGCCAGGGCCCCCAGGTTTGCCAGGAAAGAGGGGGCAGAGGGTAAGATATTGTGTCTCTGAGCATGTGTCCGCTTCAGACTGGCCTCTGCTGGTCCTACCACTCCGTGCCCCAACCCCGTGGCTCACGTGCTACCTGCAGTATGTTCAGGGTGCATGTGTCCCCTGGAAGAGGGGAGTGCCGGGATGGTCTGGAAAAACTTCAGAAATCCTACACTTGGGAGCATACCGTCCCTCCTCCAAAGCATTGGTTCCCAGGAGGAAAGACCAGCAGAAGGAGGCCTTCCCTCCATCCGTCCCCTCTCCCCCAGGGCCTCTGAAGGGCAACACCTGCATCCTTCCTCTTTAGACTCAACCTGTTTTGGGCTAGGCCCCAGCTCCGGCATACCCCAGGCACAGCCCAGGCGGAACTTCGAGGAAGGGGGGGTCAGGACTTCCCACCCATCAAAGGGACCCACACTTGGCTCCCTCCCTTTCCTTGATAGGCTTCAGGCTTTTTTGTCATTCAGCTTCTACCCAAGGGCAGGTGGCAAGGGGATGACAATCAAAGACTTGGTGTGGCATCCTCTGTGTCTTCAGCTGGAAAATTCACTGAGACACCTGTCAAATTATGACCCCAGGGCCCTCCGTTTCTATTATTAGCTACAAGAATGGGCAGCCATCCAGCTATGGAGAGGGGTGCCCTCGGGTGCTGACCTGGTGGGGTACTCTTGGGGTGCTCTCCCAATACAGGCCTCTCTGGGAGTGCCAAGTGCTGTCCTCATGGTGTAGAAGAGGGAGCTTTGGGAGAACTGAGGAGACAGACTGCTTCTGTCCCTTGAGGCTGGGAAGGGGTCACTCACAGCCCTGGAGCCTCTTTATTTGTGCAGTGAGAGCAGGGCTCTGAGATGCGTGTCCTGGGGGAGAAAGTTCTTCTTGGCGGAAGAAGATGCTTAGGGCGGGGTGTCAGCTTGCGAGGGATGCCTGAACCAAGGACCACAGGCTGTGTGGCTCAAACAACAGAAACTTATTGTCCCACGGTTCTGGAGGCCAGAAGCCCAAGGTCAAGGTGTCAGCAGTGCTGGTTCCTTCTGCAGGCTGGGAAGGAGAATCTGTTTCCTGCCTCTCTCCTTGATTCTGGCCATTTGCATCCCTGGTGTTCCTTGCATCTGGCATCCCTGGTGTTCCTTGGCTTGTAGAATTATCACTCCAATCTCTGCCTTCATTTTAACCTGGTGTTCTCCTGTTGTGCCTGTCCCTCCATCCAAGTGTCCCTTTTATAAGGACACCAGTCATACTGGATTAGGGGTCCACCCTACTCTCGTGTGACCTCATAACTTCGTCAGTTGTGTCTGTAATGACCCTATTTCCCACGAAGGTCACATTCTGAGCTACAAGAAGTAACTGCAACACACGAACTTGGGGAGGACAGAAGCCAACCCATCACAGGAAGCAAACTTCTCAAAATGGTCCTCCAAAGGAGAAGTCTAGTGAGATGAAGTTTGTGTTCCCTGGAGGCAGGGAGGGGTCAGCAGAGACTGTGGGCCTCTAAGTGCTAGACATTTAAAAAATGAAAAGAGCAGAGTGGTTAAAAGGAATTGTTTCCCCAACTGCTGGCCGTCTATACCACTCAGCTCTCCCAGGAGATGCCCCCAAAAGGAGCTAAATGCTCTTGGTGCCTCTTGATTGTAAATGATGAGGGCCCAGCCCATATGGGAGCAGGAGAACAATGACCCAGGCCCTCACCAGTGTGAAGTGGTTCAGGGAAGGAATCCGGTGCAGATGGGGGTCTTGGGGGGAAATGGCCCACGGAGGGGCAGGGAGGCAGCGGAGAAAGCCAAGGCTCTCTGCGGGAGGGGCTTGGGCCTTCCCAGTTGGCCTGGAGAAACCGTTCCTAACCCTGCACCGTCTGCATTCCCTCCACAGGGTGAAAAGGGGGCGGCAGGCTCCCCTGGGCTACTCGGCCTCCTGGGGCAGAAGGTGGGTATCGGCAAGCTCGGAATGGTGGGTTTTATGTAAAGGCATTGGGGTTCATCCACACCCACATTCCCGGCCCTAGCCATTCAGGGGCCCCAGTATCAGAGGTATCCTTGGAAGACAGCAAGATTTGTGCGTGCCGCACCACGTGGGAGGCCCCGATTGACAAAAATGTACGTATTCAAAGACCAGGAGCTGTGACCTTGTCCCATGTACTTGCACCAGCTCTGAAAATCACTCCCTGGTACACGAGCTCCATGACATTCCACTAAAAAGAAAAGAAGACTTGAGGTCAAATAAGTGTGGGGAGAGCTGCATGAGACAGGCCCCCTTGGAATGTTACAGGACACTCTCCCGTCATGCTCAGAGCACCTGGTGGGCAAAGAGCCTGAGCTGCTTCCTTTCCCTCTGCCTTCCCTGACATTCTTTGGCCACCAGACCCTTTTTTCCACATTTCAAATATTTCCCATCCCCAGAAGAAGGGTTCCATGGACACACTCTGAGGAAACAGTCTAGACCCAAGTCGTGATGGGTCTCTTGCTCAGCTCCATACCTGTTCCCCTGCAATGGCTAAGTCCTGTCTCTCCTTAAATCCCACGGCCAGTGAGACCAGGCCAGGCTTCTGAGGGCCTCTGTGCCCAGCCTGGACCAAGGCATCGTCTGCTGCCCCCACTCCTTGGAAGTAGAAGGGGAGAAAAGACAGGGATCTGCCACCTCCCTCTGGAGCTGGCAGGCCTACTCATGGTTATGTTCCCACTCTCCCCCTCCTTCTGCCCCCAGGGAGAAAAAGGCGATGCCGGCAACTCCATCGGAGGGGGCAGAGGGGAGCCTGGCCCCCCAGGGCTGCCCGGGCCCCCAGGGCCAAAGGTGAGTTTCCCTGGGATCCACGCTCAAGGGAGACACTGCCTGTGTGGCCTTTATCTTCAGCCTGTTCTTGGGGACTCCATCCTGGGTGCCTTGCTTTCTCTCCTGCTCCAGATGTCTGGTTTTCCCAGTGGATTCTAGAAAGACAATTTGGACTGAGCTCCTGATTTTCCGTGGTAACTGACTATCCAAGAGAAGCAGTCCAAGGGCAGATGGCTGGTCCCAATGATTCAAACAGCTACAGTGTAACTGAGTCAGGGATGGACGGCTGCAGGGCTTAGGAGAGCCAGAAGGGCCCCCTACCCAGCCTCTGAATATGAGATCAGTGATCCGTTGGGCCCCACCAGGTGCTGGCACACACGGGGCGGGGGGTGGGGTGGGGGTCCGCAGTGGGGTCAGCTGCAAATGGGACTGCTGTCACTTTCCTTACACCGGGTGGAAGCTACAGGGGTGAGATTTGGGTTTCCCAAAGCAGAGGCCTCCTGCGCTGCTTGGTTTGCTCCAGCAGCCCAGGGAGTGAGGAGGGCCTCTTTAAGGCGAGGACCCGTTGCATGATTTTGGAAGATACACACATTCGTTCCACCAACATGTATTGAGGGGCTGCTGTGGCGGGGCTCTGCCTGGCCTATCAGGCTGCAGAGAGCTGCCGTCCGCTTGCTCACAGCCCAGCAGGAGAAGCAGACCCAGTTCCCAAGGAAATCGTGGCAGGGGCCAGAAGGAAGCCCACAGATGGGCAAGATGAAGTGGCAGGAAGGGTCTTGGGCAACCGCCCACGGGCCCATCGGACCAGCTCGAGTGCCAGCTTTGCCAATGGTGGCCCTGGAAGCTGGGCTCCGGGACATCCCCAGGGTCGGATTCCGTCTCCATGGGACGTGGATCCCTGGCAGGTCTTGGGTTTTGATTTGGGGTTAGGGAAGCCTGGTCGGTACTGTCCCTGCATCCTGGGACACAAGAGGGGAAAGCTTAGAAGGCCGTGTCCTCCTTCAGGGAACGGGCAAAGTGCTGAGTGAGGGAAGTATGCGCGGGGGACCTCCTCCCGTCTCTCTCTGCGCCTCCCATCCTAGGCCTCCTGTTTCCCCTCCCTATGTACTCAGAGCCTTCATGGTCCCTTCCGTCTCCTGGGCAGGACCTGCTGAGGTGGCCTTCCCAAGTGTTCCAGGTTCTAAAATGACCTGCCTCCCTGTAGTTAGGACCGGATGGCAGTCTACACCGGGGGTGGGGGGGTGCGGATGGCAGTCCATACCCCAGGGCTGAAACAGAGCTGGACTGTGTGTTAACCAAGAACTGAGGAGCTTCTGGCACTGCGGGCTGGACCCCAGAAAGTGGTGCAGAACTCAGAGGAGGAAAGAGGCAGGCAGGGAAGGCTGCCTGGAGGACGTGAGACTGAGGCTGGGCCCACACAGTGGGTGGGAGTCAGATGAGTAGAATGAAGTGAGTTAGTAGAAGCCAGTGCAGACAAAGACAGAGATCCAGAAACACCCAGCACCCATGTCTCTCCTCTTCCCCAGGGAGAAGCTGGCTTTGATGGCCCGGCCGGCCCCCCAGGACGGCAAGGAGACAAGGTACAGAGGCTCACAGTTCTGAGATGAGGGTTGGCTTGGGAGTTCAAGACCTAGCTCAGGAAGAGAAAGTGCGGTGGCTGTCCCTGCAGCCGGACCCCCGGGCACAAAGCTGTCATCAGGGTCTTGAGGAGTCAAATTCTATAGTCCCTTTATATTTACTTTCTATCTTGATTTTTTAAAAATTTGTATTTAATGTTAACATTGTCTCAGAACCATTGGGACTGTGGTTTGTTATCATGTATTCCCCACAGTCCCATCCTGTTTCCAACCGGGATGACCCTCAACCCCACCCGGCGGGCAGAGGGAGGGGTGGAGTGCTCTGAGTACCTTCTGCCAAACCCCCTTTCTCCATCCTGCTATGTGGGGCTGTGACATGCAGAGAAGCCCCTGAAAGAACTCATGGCCCCTCCGTGGCAATTATGGACCCCTCAGGCGATGGGCAAAAAGTTGCTAAGCTCTCACGCCTTGAGCCAACTGGAAATAAAGGGAAGCAAAGGGGGTGGTCCTCCAAAGCTTGGCGTGGGGGAGGCGGCCGGGGAGTCGCAGGGGCGGTCCCTAACAACTAGCCCAGGCCAGGAAAAAGTTTATCCAGTGAGAAGCCGGGTGAGAAGCCGGAGAAGCTGGGAGGCCCAGAGGAGGGCAGGCTGGGGAAGATGCTCTGTGAACGGGCGGAGACTGCACTTTCCTGCACGGGAAGGTCAGCAGCTTCCTGGCCTGAGCAAAGATGAGCCTCCCAACACTTCCATGGCCCTCTGGGGACAGTAGACGCTCTTGTACCCAGCCTTGTCCCCATTTCACTCAAATTGTCATGCAACAGGGGGAGCCTGGAGCACCTGGAAACCAGGGACCAGCCGGCCCCAAGGTATGTGCATCTCTCCCCGCCAGAGTCAGAGCCTGCACCTCGCTTCCCTGGGGTCATGGCCTGAGCGGCTGGGCTCTGGGTCTTGAGGGGGAGGGTGGGAGAGAGACTTCTTTCTGCAGTCGTGGCCGCCGTGATGGGACTCAAGTCTTCTCTAGGTCTGTCTAGTCCAGAGTTGTTGGACAGAGACTTCTGTGTTGGTTCTAGACCCTCTGGGCATCCTCGGTCAGTGTGGGGAACCCCGACAGGCTCCCCGGCCTGCTGCTCTGGGTCCTCCTGTGGGCAGCCAGACACAGCCCGCCTCAGCTACAACCCTGTCTGGTGAAGAGCAGGCAGCTGTGCCCCGCAGCCTGTCCCTCCTGGCCCCGGCCAGCGGTTGAGACTGCATTTGTCTCGCAGGGCACCAAGGGGGAACCAGGGAAAGGAGAGATGGTGGACTACAATGGAAATATCAACGAGGCTCTCCAGGTACGTGGGAGCTGGAGGAGAGACTAGAGATCGAGAGGCGCTCAGGAGCGCCAGGCGCTGTGCCATGGCCCAGTGAGGGGGCGCTTTGATGCCCCAACTAGTGTCCTTGACATTAGACTATTGACAGAGCTTCCAGAAGAGTGGCCCCCTTGCTCTCTCTCCCTTGGCCTCTGCCTCCAGCCTCCAGGCAAACGCACCCCCTCATTTGGCCAAGAGGTGGCCTGGCTCTGGGTCTGGCCCTGCTGGCTGGATATCCGGGCTCCGGGAACTGAGCATCATAGTGGGTGGACCAGGGTTCTGGGGCCCCACGTCTTCAATACCTGCGGGTCATTTTGTGGGGAGTTGTGGGGGAGGGTGCCCTCTATGTTGTAGGTTGCTTCACAACATCCCTGGTCTCGAGCCACTAGACACCTGGTCTTTCGCCACCCCCTGGCTGACAACAAAAATATGCCTCCAAACATCACCAATGTCCCCTGGGGGCCAAACCCCACCCCCTGGTTGGAGAACCAGTCCTTTAAAGGAAACACTGCCCCTCTGGGGATCTGTTTACTTGGGGTACGATCCTGTCTGCGTGCCAACTCTCATCCCCCTGGTTTCTTGAGTGGCTCTGTACCTTCCTATTCTGCATTCGATGTTTACAAGGAAGTATGTTGGAGTCTTGAAGTCTGGTTCTGGGGGGAGATGTGGAGAACAGGGGAGGGTCCCAGTCAGCGATCAGGGAGAAGCAGATATGTTGCACCCTCCCTCTTTGGCAAAGAGAAGGCGAGTGTGCAGTCCGTTTCAAGGCCTGAGTCTGGAATAAGACAGCCTCAGAGGTTCTGCAAACCTTGGGGAGATGTGGGGGCAGCATGGGGTCAGGAGGCATGGAGCCCACCAAGAGGGCCTATCCCTACTGTGCTTCTAAGGGAGGTCCAGCTCCCATGTTTCTGTGCCTGGACCAAGGGGACCCTCTAGACGGCCCTTGACTTGTTCTTGAACTGATCGCATGGCATTGGTTTTTAGGAGATCCGAACGCTGGCCTTGATGGTAAGTCTTCCTCCTTCCCTTGGGCACTGGGCTGAGGGCTGGGGCACTGGGGCAGGAGGGCTGGGGGCCGGGGGAGGGCGAGGACTTGAGGTCTGGCCTCCAGAAAGCAGGTTCGGGGCTTCTAGGTCAGGGCTGACCCTGAAGTGGCAGGGCAGAGGGTGATCCGAACCTGAGCGGGGGCTCTCCAGAGCCTCCTCCACCCAGGTCCCAGCTGTCCTCAGGAGCAGCTCTTCACCCATTCCACAGCACACTCTTATCTCGGTGTAGACACTGGGGCATTGTGCAGCCGTGTGAAGGAGATAGAAGTACAGAAGAGGATGTGTGAATGTTTCTCCTCGAACCCAACATTCAGCTCATAAAATCCATAACCCAAAAAAATCAGGAGAAACTCAACCTCCACTTTTTCACCTTTCCTAGAAATCAGTTTCATTTTCTGCACTTGGAAAACCAGTGAATTCCAAGCCCTGATTTTGTGTGTGTGCCTACTACCACCGACAGACCTGTGGATTTTTGTAGTGAATATTTCTAGTTAAAACAATTGCCATGAGGTTTAATGTTCAGGTGCAGAGAAGAAAGGAGATCCCAAAGTTCTCAAACTATCGGAATTTCATTTAACTTAGTATTTTTATTTTTTTAAGGAAGTTATTTATTTATTTGCGAGAGAGAGAGAGAGTGCACACATGAATGGAGGGAGGAACAGAGGGAGAAGCAGACTCCCCACTGAGCAGGGAGCCTGATGTGGGGCTCGATCCCAAGACCCTGGTATCATGACCTGAACTGAAGGCAGATGCTTAACTCTATTTTTAACTCCATTTTCTATTCTTTAACTATTTTTAATCCAGACTCAAACACCAATCATATCATGCCCCAACCCCAGAGGTTGGTATAAACATCACATGATCCTAGAATCAGTGAGCTTCATTTGAAGACATTAAAATATATTATTTGAAATAGCTATCCAAAGCAAAACTTTCATAGAATCTTTTTTTCTTTTAAAGTCAACCTCAATGGGCACCTGGGTGGTTCAGTTGGTTGAGCGACTGCCTTCAGCTCAGGTCATGAACCTGGAGTCCCCGGATGGAGTCCCACATCGGGAACCCTGCTCAGCAGGCGATCTGCTTCTCTCGCTGACCATCCTCCTCCCGTGCTTGCTCTCTCTCATTCTCTCTCTTTCTCAAATAAATAAATGAAATCTTTAAAAGTAAATAAATAGAGTCAACCTCGAGGCGTAATTTACATGCAATAAAATAGACCCACTTTCGCGGTGAAGTTTGATGAGCTTCGACAAATGTATATATCCCTGTAGCCCCTCCTGATGGGTTGGGGTTACCCATGGGAGTTATCCGTGTAACCCCAGGCACTCCAGAAAGTTCTTTCATGTGCCTCGGGAGTCAATCCCGCACCTACCCGCAGGCCCCGGACACCACTGAGCTTCTTTCTGTTCTGGTGGATTAGATCTGTCTCTTCTGGAGTGTCATCTGAGTGGAGTCGCGCAGTGTAGCCGTCTGCGCCTGGTTCTCCAGCTCAGCATGGGAGGTCTGGGTCGCATCCGTGGCGTGGCCGGCACCCATGCTTGCTTCGTTGTTCGCTGCGGAGCAGTGTTCCAGGGCATGGGTTCACACACCTGCACCTGTTGATGGATATCTGCACTGTTTCCCGGAGGCATTTTGAAGTCCCTGTCAGGGGAGGTGAATCGTATCTTCTCGGAGCCCCGGGGTGCTCAGAGGGAGGAGAAGGGAGAGGCTGGTAGGCGTGGCTCCGGGATCCCCGCCCCTCAACCCAGCCACGCTAAGCCAGACACACTCAGTGCTTATCCACTTAAACTGTCGAGTCCCCGTGCTCTTCCCTTTGCTGAAAGATGTTCCGGCCACTGAGGAGACGTTTGAAAATGATCGATCCCCATAAACCAGCCTCCACATACCCCCCTCTGGCAACAGGCCAATCCTTCCTGGTTGGAAAGTTCTTCCACAGGTCTTTGTTTTATTTCCTAGGGACCCCCCGGTCTTCCCGGACAAATTGGCCCACCCGGAGCCCCAGGGGTCCCAGGCCAGAAGGTAACACTCGTCTTGACAACGCAGAGACCCCACAGAGGCACTGCGTGTGTCCTTGAGTGCGGGAGACAGTGGGTGATCCTCCCATCTTCCCTCAGAGCTACCACTGCTCCCAGGCAGCCCAGGCCCTGCTTTGTCCCCATCGCAGCCACCCCCTCTCCTGCCACCTCACTCTGTCATTCTTCCCCTGCTGTCTGACTTGGGCTCCCATCATTCTCAGGCTCCTCTGAGAGCTGGGTGGAGCTTGGGTCTAGACAAGCCACTGCTCCAGGCAGAACCATGGGGGGGACCCCAACCCACTCATCAGGGAACATGGCACTTGAGCACCTCCCCGATCTCCCCCCTCCTTCGCGCCCCACCTTTGCTCCCCTCTGCCCCACCCCTGTGATTTTCTCAGAAGGCCCTGCATGTTTGCACCTCTGTCCCCTGCTCACGAGGGCCCCTGCCCTGAACTACCCTCCCCTCTTCCCTACCTTTCCAAGTCTTCATATTTCAAGTCCAGCTCAAAGCCACCTCCTCCTTGAAGCCTCCCCTGCTCTACCAAGCAGAATTCACTGCCCTTTCTTGTCTGCTCCTCTCTTAGCATCATTTTGCCTTGGTGATGTGGGTCATTCTTTACTGGCCTCAAAAACAGAGGCCAGGCCTCCTTTATCTCCCTCCCTGACCTAAAGAAGAGGATTGGGTTGATGCGAAGATTCAGGGAGTTTTACCTGTGGGGCAGGCAGGATAGGAGGGCTGGGCTGCGGGTGAGGGGAGTGGGGCACTGGGAGGCAACACCCCTCCCAGGGAGTACCCAGGGTCCTCAGAGACAGCGTGTGAGGCCATGGCTAGAATGTGGACTGCGGAGCCAGGATCTAGCTGCCCGCCGCCCAAACCGCAGGCCTCTTGCGCACGGCTCTGCCCTGGGGGCCTCACCTTGAAGCAGAGGCAGTGTAAGTTCATAGCTCCGGGCTGACCCTGGCACAGAAGCAGTGCCGTAAATGACAGCTCCTCTGCTCTGACACTGACCTTCGTTGTTCTGGCCCCAGGGGGAGATCGGACTGCCAGGCCCTCCAGGACACGATGGAGAAAAGGTAAGAGCAGATACTCCCGGATGAGCCTTCGAAGATGGACCTTGACCCGGGCTAATGGGGGATGGTGGAGCTTGGGGGCCAAAGGCTCTGGAACAGGCCTATATGTGAGCCTGTGGGGAAGGGAGTGGGGGAGCATGGGGCCAACCCTGCAGGAGCCTGAACCCCACACTGCTGGCCCCAGAGGAGCCGGGCAGACCCAACTGGGACAGGCTGGAGCTGGTGCTGAGTCTCCTCCGATTCCAAGGGAGGTGGACAGAGCCATGTCCTTTGGACTTCCCATTCTTTTATGCTCCCTCTCTCTCTCTCTCCTCCATCAGCGTATATAATAAGCATTGCTCATACTTTCTAAAGGGACCTCGAGGCAAGCCAGGAGACATGGGCCCTCCTGGTCCCCAAGGCCCCCCAGGAAAGTCTGGGCCTGCAGGAATGAAGGGAGAAGACGGACACGCAGGAAGCCCGGGAGAGAAGGGGGAGAAAGGGGAGATGGGACAGGCGGGCCCACCGGTGAGTGCCAGGGCGGGCCGGCCAGAATTCCACCCTGGGACGCCTGCCTGCCCGCATGGTGTGCCACCCCAGCACGGCTTCTGCACGGTGCCTGCTGCAGCCTGGGCTGGAAACCTGGGGCTGGGATTTGGGGGCCGGGGACTCCCCTGGGTTTCCCTCAAACCCCTGGCTTTATGAAGGCCAGCAGCCCCCCTCAAGAGAATGGGGCCTGTTCAGTCCTGTGTCCTTGGGAAAGTCCCTGAGCCTTGCAGGACCTCTATTTTCTCATCTCTAAAATGGGGCTAATCTCCCTCCCTGGATACTTCACTGGGTCGTTGGGAAGGAGATGAGGTCACAGGGGTAATCCCGCCTCTTTGGCAAGTATGCAGAAGCCCGACACCCGGGGGAGGTTGCCTGTACAAAGAAAGCACCTTACCCAGTCCTATGAGGCTCCTGACTTGACCAGGGCATCTTCCGGGGGCTTCAGTGGCTTTTCATCTGTGAAATGGGCACCTTCTCGACCCCCTGCCCTTGGAGGAAGGGAGCCACGCCTGCCTGCCGCAGTTGGTCACAGACGCTCAGCCGACACCCTCGCTCTCGACTAACAGAGATCTTTGTCGATCTGTAGGGTCTAGACGGCCCAACTGGGGAGAAAGGAGAACCAGGTGGTCAAGGGAGGCCCGGAGCAACAGGAGTCCCCGGCCCTATCGGGCTCCCGGGATTTACAGTAAGGCGAGAGGGTGGGGTATTGAGGTTGTCCGCGGGCCGCTGTGGATGTAGGCACGCAAGTGAGGGGGCCCCTCATGGGGTCACCGGCCTGGCGGATGCCTGGCCCTGTATCGAGGCTGCACTAACCCCCCGCCTGCCTGGCCTTTTGCGGGGGAGGGGGAGGGTCAGAGGGGTGGATCGGGTCCTCTTGAAGAACAGCTACCCCAGGCAGAGCACCAGAGTGTGAATACTGGTTCCCGCTTCTCAGCTCACAGCATGGTGGCCTCAGCCTTCAGGCATCCACCTGGCTCAAAGGTGCTAGAGTCTTGGGCTCAGAATTCTCCTATTTGAAGTATAGAGAACCTCAGAGGTCAATGAGTCCCACCTGGGACCCAGGGCAGATGTCCCTCTGGCAGATGTCCTGCTCCCCGGGGCTGCCCCGCTCAGCTGGGACAGGGAGGCAGTTCCCAGCCTCCCGACGTGGCCCTCCACCACGGAGCAGCTCCGGGCTAGAAGGAGCGTGTGCAGAAGCTTCCTCCTCAACCTCGCAGCCCTAGCCCTCGCCCTGTTCCTAGAGCCACAGAGTCGTTTCTGTGACCACGTAACGAATCTCGTATTTGGCAGCTGAAAGCATTGCGCTCTTCTGATCTCAGGGTCTGTGGGCCCGGAGTCCAGCTCGCCTCCGCCGGGCCCTCTGCCCCGGGGGGCTCACGAGGCTTCAGTCAAGCTGCTGGTCTACATTCTCACCCGGCTGCTCTTCCCAGCTCACCGCAGTTTGCGTAAGCAGGCAGTGCACATTGGAGCAGCTTTCTTGTTGAAGGCCAAGGCCAGCGGGGGTCTCTGAGTGCCTCCTGCCAAGACAGGGCCATGTGCTCATGCATGTGTAACATAATCTGAATGTATGCGTGTTATAATCTGTAACATAAGCGTGTAACGTAATCACAGGAGTGACATCCTGTCACTTTGGCCAGGTGCCATATTCTATTGGTTAGAAACAGGTCACGGGGTCCCCCCAGGATCTGTGCACCCTGGGGTCCACACACGGTATCAGCCTCTCCTCCCACGTGCTGGGACCTCAGATCCCCGAAGATGGTGATCTTAGGCCTCTTGTCCCATCTTCTTTATTGCAAGCTGACTGTCCCCTCAGCCTCCCAGGTGGCCCTTGACGACACCTTGGTCTCATCTAGTCCCGGTCTGGTTTGTCACAGATGTGAGGGTGTCCCTGTGCACACCCCCCGCCCCAGTGCCAGCACCCACAGCTTGGTGTTTTGTGCCCACAGGGAGAGAAAGGAGAGCCCGGGGAGAAGGGGGAGCCAGGAGTGGAGGTAGGTTGCGCTGCTCGGCCTTCTGTGTCATGGGGTGTTTGACAGGGATCTCATCAGCCCCCAGTCCCTCTAGGACACACGGCATTTCCATGCTCTAGAAGGAAGCACACAGCTGCCTGACACACGGAGTGAGCAAGAAGCCGGACATTCACTGAGCACCATAACCCAGCCTCGGTGTCCCAGGTCATGGTTTCCCCACCAGTGTTCACAGAGCACCCGCCATGTTTCCTTTCCATGCTAGAGTCTGGAGTTAGGAAAAGGAACAGAACCACCTCTGCGAATGGTCCCCAGTAGCATGTTCTAGAATGGTTAGCCGCTCAAGGAGTTGATGAACATCCTAGAAGACGGGTCTTTTGAGCAGGATCTTGAAGACTGTAGGATTTTGCCTAGAAGCTCAAGAAGTAAGCTTTCCTGAGAAGCACATTCTACTCTGAGAGGTGAGGTGGTGAAGGCAAGAGGAGAAACAGTGGGGGCAGAGGTGCTGGGGACGGAGGCCAGGGTCTCATAAGATGAGAGAGAATCGGGCATATTTGTAGGCTCAGGGAAAGAGCCAAGAAAACAACAGAGCTCAGCCACATGTGAGGGAGACCATGTTTGATGGGAGGACCTGTGCCACCCAGACAGAGCCAGTGGAGGGACCACTGAGCCTTCTCAGCCCCCGGAGAGGTCCCCCGGCCCCTGTCACCGTCAGTGTCACCAGGGCCCGTTCCCCATTCAGGGAAGTAAACTTGATGAGGTATGTTCCTGGGTTAGAGACGGGTGGCCTCCTGATGAAATGCTCCGAGATTCAGGAAAAGCACCACACACAGAAATGTTCCTTCCAGAAGTATTTAAAGTAACAATTGGAAACAGCCTACATTTCTAACAAGAAGGAAATGATTCAATAACTTATGGTAATAATACTAATGGTATAATAGTCCCCATGTTTGGGAGCGCTCCTTGTGCCAAGCCCGGCTCCAGGCCCTCGCCGGGGAGTAACTCATTTCACGCTGCTCAGTAGAGACACGGAAAGGAGGCTTGTGGGGAACATACAAAAAAAAAAAAAAGAAAGAAAGAAAACCAGGTTTCAGGTTAAATGAAAAACAGCAGAGAATCAAATTATATATATAAAATCATTGTTAAACATGAACATATATTCAGATACATTTTATGCATCAAAAAAGAGTGGAAGGAAATAAAGCAAAATATTAGGAGTAGCCAGATACTTACTCTTTCTGTTCGTTCAATTCCCTCTAATTTACAAAATATTTTAGTGGGTCTGTTACTACTTTATTTTTTTTTATTTTTATTTTTTTGTTTTCAGATCATCGTACAGTAATATTGGCTTTTGGGTTGAGTGTGTATAGGTCTGTGAATTTTTTTAATATATTCATAGGTCTGTGTAGCTACCGTCACAATCAGGATACATGAATCACTGGTTTATAATAAGGAAAAAAAGCAGTAAACTTTTTAAGAAAAGATTCTAGAGTTTCCAGAGATTGAGCTGAGAAATCCACGGATCCGAGAGACATGAGAGGTACTCGGTCTGCCCAAGTTCGGGGGCTTCTCTTTGGTGGCCTGACAGAGTGTTCACTCTGGCCACACTCCATGGGATTCGAACCCTGGGAAGGCAAGAAGAGCCTCAAAGCTGAGATGGTGTGACCAGCTCAGAAAGGAGCAGGCAGGCCTCCCTCCTGCGTCTTGGGGGGCCAAGCGTTGGCAAATGGATGGCCGTCCTCATGAGAAGGAATCTGTAATGAGCACCATCCTCCGTAGAAAGAAAGACTCCCTGAGTCCCTTCACCTTCCCCATCCAGCATGAATCTGTCCTACTTCACTCTGCCTTTAATTAAAGGGAAGAGAAGAGACTAGCAGTCTCTGTTACAAACCCAAGGGGACTTGAGGGGTATTCTTCCAAAGCTGCTCCGCCCCCTCCCACATAACCAATCTCCGCTCCTGTAAGCCAGAGGTCTCAGATTCAAATACCTACAGGCACCAGGCACACAACAAATGAATGCCAAGTTCCAGATCAAAGACAATAGGGAGTGGTGGGGCCTGGGGTTATCTGAAGATTTCATGCCCCGCCTGGAGGGCAAAGCTTTCATTCAGCTCCAGGCAATGTTGCCATGCTTGAACAAGAGCCTGTGCTGCCAGGCTTTTCTTTTCTCTTTCTTTTTTTTCCAAGAAAATCTGGACGTCTAGACGTTTTGACAGCATTTCCTGGCAATCTGTGGGTTTTTTTTTTTTCCTCCAACAATGTGCAGGTTAACGTATTGCTATGCGTTTCTGCCCTGTTCTCGGCCTTCTTTTGGGAAACCAACAAGCTGGGCACTTTTGACCTCGTCTAGCAGTCCCCAGCTAGACCTTGAACCATGGTAAAAGGGGAGGCCACTCGGAGGGTAACAGAGGGTGGGCTAACCATCTCCCTTTGGATTCTAGGTTCCTGGGCCTCCAGGGCCAGAGGGGCCCCCCGGACCTCCGGTAAGTGTGGTGGGCTTGTCAGCATTTCAGTCTACTGTGACTGGGTCCCTAATATCCCTTCCCCTTGGCAGTCACTGGGATCCATATCAGCCTCAGGTCACTGTCACCTCCTCCTCCTCCCTGGGTGGGATTTTCTCATCCACAAACCTCTCCCTACTCCTTTGCACCGCCCCTCCGCCCACACCATGATAAACCGGCCCCGTCTCAGTTACCCTGAGGAGTGCGGGTATCACCAGCCGTCTTAGAGACAGCTGACTGGAGTGTCGCCCTGGGGTCTGGTCCCACTGCCCCGCAGAAGTCCCTCTGCCGCTAAGCTCGGCCCTTTGCTATTAGACGCCCACTCTCCCCCTTCCTCCTTCTGACTAACCAGCAGCAAAAACATCTGGATTAAGATGGAAAGTGGTATAAAACCAGCCCCACTGGATTAGCCTTTCCAGGTGACAGGGGATAAGATGAGGCCTTTCTGGGGCCCCCCAGCATCCTAAACCAAGAGATGCTGGTCCTTCCTCTGTGGGGTTCCCAGTCCCCACAGCACCGCGTCACCCACTCTCATCGGCACAAGGAGGAGTAATAACAGCGGCAGCGCTTACCGCGACTTCTTACGTGCCGGACGCTATTCCCAGCGCTTTACGTGTATTAATCTGACCAGCGTTTGCTGTCTGTACTCCTTCTGCATCTTCCCTTCAGGAGGCTCGAGGCCCACTGTGGGGGTCACAGAGAGACGCTCTGTCAGTCCCTGGTTGGAGAGGCCTGCCTCAGACTCCACCCCAGGGAGCCCCAAGCACGAGCCCCCTTAGCACTCTCTCCACCATCCCTGGGCGGGGACCCCAGGCCCTTGCTCTTTTGTGGTCCGATGGACAAGGTGTTTTTGACTTACTTAGAAATGCAGTTCTCAGGTGCCTTGTTTTGATTCCAAATACAGGGGCTCCAAGGTGTTCCCGGACCAAAGGTAAGAAGAGGTCACATGAGAGGTGCTGAGTGGGGAGGGGAGGGGAGGTGTCAGAGAGGGCCGAAAAGCAGGAAAGTCCTTCAGAGACTGGTGGCCCATCTGGTCCCTTCCTAAAGTAGAATCATGTGACAATGGCCAGCGGCTACAACCAGGAGAGAATGACGTCCTTTTAACACCTGGCATTGACACTGGACAGGCTTCCTATTTAGAATTTTCCCATCCATTAATCACCCTACGAGTGACGGGTTGGATTCTTAGCATAGAATGAAATGCCCAGACCTTTCTACCCCAGACCTTTCACTCACCCTGAAGTAGAGGTGGAGACAGAGAGGGGTGTAGTGCAGGCCCCTCCTCCCCAGGTCCAAGCCCACTGGTCTGGCCTGGAGGGGGGGGTCTCCCAGTCTCCCCCCTCAAAAGCATATCAACTGGATAAGAGCGGCTGGGAGCTGATGGCAAATTGTCCTGTGCCTCCCACCCCCACCCCAATATTCTTCAGGAGACTGTTGGGCAATTTCTTGTCCCAAAGTTCCAGAGCCTTGGAGCTCCCATGGTAACATTCCGGACACCTGCCAGTCAATTTCTGCAGGGCCCCAGTTTTCCTGCTCTGCAAATGGTCACTTATGCCCAAGCCTGACCTGGAAATGCCCTTTGGGTCTGTCTCCACTCCACCCATCTCCTTTTCCTTTGGGGACCTCTCAGTTACTACAGGGATACCGAGGAGTCTAATGGAGGTAGAGCCAGGCTAGGAACTCAAGAATTCTTGGAGTCTCCTGCCTGCCATCCATGGGCCAGCCACCTCTGCCTGCCCCCTCCCTCCTCCGTCCTCTACCTGCCCCCATGTCCCCAACCCACCCCTACCTCCAGGACCCCAGGATGCAAGAACGACTTGTCTGAGACATGCCTTTCTGTGATCTGCCCCTTCCCTTTCCTTCAGGGGGAAGCAGGACTAGATGGAGCAAAAGGAGAGAAGGGTGTCCAGGGAGAGAAAGGAGATCGAGGGCCGCTGGGATTACCTGTAAGTATCTCAGAGCCAGCAAACCTGGGCGGATCCCAGCCGGGTGGTCCTGAGGAGGCTGGGGCGGCATGCAGAACCGCGGGAGAAGGCTGCTGCAGAACTGGGGGTTCTAAAATTCCATTCCAGAACACTCCATTTGGTTTTGCTTTCCCACGTGGGCAAGACCGTAGACTCTAATTCCCTTCCCGAGGGCTTCCTCTGGGCCAGCTCCAGGCCTGGGCATGAGGGGATGATGCAGAGCTAAAGAAGACAGGGCCCCCCACCCAAGAAGCCCCCAGCTGGAGAGCCCCAAGAGGCCTGAGAACGTCTCAGGCCCTACATGTGACTGATTCAGAGGTAATAAAAAATCTGCCCTTAATGGGAGTCAAGCTTGGAGGACCTGGGAGCAGCGAGTTGGTGAAACGTTCAACATCTCCCTCCTATTTCCCTATCTTCAGCACCGGCCACAGCAGAAGAGCTTGTACAAAAGCAGATTCTCTGCTCCCAGCATGCTAAGGCCACTCAGTCTCTTGTCTCAGGCTGCCCTGAAATCAGACCCCAGGTCGGGGCGAGGGGCTCCCTAGGAGGCAACTACATTTCCAGATGTGGGCGCCTGGCCTGGATGAATCTTTTGCTCCAAGCTCCCGTGGATTCATGGCCCCGTCACTGCCTCCCCTGTGTCCAGGGCCATGCCCTCTAACCCCCACCTCCCGGAGCCCTGGGTTTCCTTCTCCCTCATCCCTCAGTGGGGCTGGCACCGCTTGCTTTCCGAGAGCTGGAACAGACGTCAGGGATCCATCTGCTCATTTTACTGAGGGTCCCAGAGAAGAGAGAGTCACTTGAGGTCACATATGAAGTCAGTGGTCAGGCCACGCCAGAGGCTGCTCCTTCACTGAGGCCACTGCCTCACGAAGGGGCTCATTCCAGCCACTGGGGCTTCCTCTGTCCTGGGCGCAAGGCCAGTTCCCACCCTGGGAAGCCATAAAGACCCGGAGAACAAAGAGCAGCCCAATTACCCCAGCTTGGCAGAGAGTGAAGTTCTGGTTAAAATAGTCACAGCAACCAAACAGCGAGAGCAAAAGGTATGATCACATCCTCATTAGTGCATCAAATGTAGGACATTTAAGGAGCTGATGTGCCTGGCAGACTGTGAGGAACTGATGACTTTAACAGACATTTTCCCATGTCTTAAGCTGTGTCCAGAATATTTAAGTACTCATTACTAGAGAAGAGCCTTCCTGCCCTGACTCCACCACAGATCTCTCATCCGCCTTCACGGCCCCAAGGCCCTAGTGAACATGGGAGAATTTAGTCAAGGCTCAAAATGCAAATGGCACAGAGATCAAACAGGTTATATAAACAGAGAAAGTGCCCGGTGTGTCTTTAAGTTGTCAGCTTTCAGTAAAGGCATGGGTGCAGAGAAATATTTTTGCTAGCTTCAGAAAACAACCGAGCGAGCATCTCCACAAGCGGCAACGAACGGGGACGTCAGGGATGCAAGAGGGAGTAGTGGGGACTGGGGCGCACTGGAAGCCAGGCGTCCCTTCTTAAGGAGAGAAACTGACTATTCAGCTGCCTGTCGTCTCAGGGGAATGAGGGGCTAGTATTTCCAGATGGTCTCATTTTTCCAAGGAAGTTGGACATCTGGCATTTTATGTGAAATCTCCCCATTTTCTAACATTAAATTAAAATTACTTGCAACTCCACAGACCACGCAAAATATGTCAGTGACCCACATATGGCCTGAAAACTGCCAGTCCGTGCCCTCTGCCCCAGATCTCTTGAGAAAACTCGGAATTGGTACCCTCTGCCCCAGATCTCTTGAGAAAACTCGGAATTGGTACTGCATAGGCCAAGTTTGTGACTACTTAGTTAAAGTTCTGATTTTCAGCTTCACCTCCATAGTTTATGCCATATAGTAGCAGCCTGCTTTTCCAGAACATTCTATGGAGTCCCTTCTGTTGGCCCTATGGAAGTGGTTTTCAGTGCTGGCTACATACTGGAGTTGCCTGGAGCTTGTCAAACATGCCATTACTCTGGCCTCCCCGTTGGAGACTTTGGTTGAATTGGGGTGGGAGAGGGCCCAAACATCTCTATTATTTCATGTGTCCCCCAGCCAGGAAATGCTGATCTTGCCCTAGAGTGAAGAACCTGGGCTCCCTAGTACAGGAGTCAGGATCATCCCAGACTTCGTGATCCTAAAACTGAGAAGGAAGTCCCTGGAGGATCCTACTACCTTTTCCCTGTCCTTCCTTGCCTGGGGCATTCCCCCACCTTTAAAACCCTGAGGCCTAGGCTCATTTCGGAGGCTCAGTTAGATGCCCTTTTATAAGAACTCAGTTCTCACTGGTCTAGACTGTCCCCACTACCTTCTCTCTGGTTTGTCACATTGGAATCATTAGACAAATTTCCCTCTGGGTCTCCTAGGTGGGTCTTGGGGACAACATCCCAGCCCAGCATTGGAGCAAGAGTTCCTATTGGCACCTCAGAGATCATTGGGTGCTTCATGGCGAGTGGGTCCCCTGTCAGCCAGTTTACTCCAGAGCATACGTGGCCTTAGACCTTTGTCCCAGTCAGCTGCCCCCAAAGTCTTTTTCTCTAAGCGGGCCCTTGTCTGGGAGAACAGGAATGCACTGCGTTTGTCCTGAGCTTTGCAAACCACACAGTGCCAGCAAAAGGTCAGGCATCGTGAGGACTCACATCCCAGCCCCCTGCCCACCCCCGAGCAGAAGCAGGCCAGTGTCTACCCACATTCCCAAGCCAGGTGCTGTAACTCAGTACTGATTTCCTCAGCGTTCTGCAGCCTTGGCCCGGTCTCCACAGCGATGCAAAAAAAGGCTAGGAAGATAGCCCACCCTCCACATAGGCTTGTCCCCCTGCAGGGAGACTGGTCCTGGGAAGGAGGCGATCCCTCTGTCTCCAGACATCTTTCCATGAATTCTCTTTCTGCGTCCCTTTTCCCGAAGCGCTGCAACCCCCTGGCAGAGGGATTTCTGAGAGGGGCTACGGGGAGAGAGGGGGTCAGAGGGCACAGAGGATGAGATGGGCTGTCTGCACTGCTCCCCACCAGCCTGCACGGTGGCCGGCCACACTGCCGCTCGGTGTCCGTTTTTGTCGGTTTCCGTGTGAATATCATCACCTGTCCTCCCAAGCTTATTTCTCCCGTTTTGTTTGATGACCAGCATTTGTGTCTGTCCGGAGTCACTGCTTCACTCACCTCTTCCCTCCCCGGTCCCTTTTTCTCCCTCCCATCCCTTCCCTCCCCTTCTTTCGGTCAAACTGTCCCCTTCGTCCAGGGAGCTGCAGGTTTGGACGGCAGGCCTGGGCCACCGGTGAGTGTCACTTCTCCGCTACCCCTCAGCCCACCCCGCCCCCCGCCTGTGGCCCCTCTCGTCTGTCCCTGTCCTGCTGTGGCCTCGTTTTCCCAGTGAGTCCTGCCTTATCCCACCACCAACACCAGAAAGGTACTGTCTTTGCCCAGGTCAAAAATGCTTCTTCAGGCCTCTTGACCAAAGATGGGTGGCCTTCCTCCGAATTCCCCAGGCCATCGTCTGGACCCAGGGTCCTCAAGTCTGGGTCTCTGGACCACTGGATGTGGGATGGAGGTCTGCTCCCGCTGCACGGTCTCTGTTTCCAACAGAAGGCTGAGTACGGCCTGGGAGCCCAGCCCCAGGGGCTGGGACCACGACTCATGCCCACCAAACGTATCTGTATGTGCCCGTTGTGCTGTGTTGTCTCCATGCTGTGAGCTCTGTCCATCTCCTGTCTGCCCACGAGGGCTTCCTAGTTCTGTGCAGCCCCCTCCGGTGTGTATTGAGGTGATATTTCTAGGATCCTATGGGACAGTCCTAGCTTGGTGCTCTGCGGGCATGGGACCCTGCTTCCTGTGCTGCCCCAGCCACCCCACAATTCAACAAAGGCTTTATGCAGAGCAAAAGAGGAACACATTGGCCCCCTCTTTCTCCATTCTTTCTGATTCCAGAAAACAGGCATCACCTACTCAGGACTAGAAAGCACCTGGCCTTTCTTCTTGGGACAAACAACTGAAGCATCAGGAAAAATCTCTCCTCTCCTCTCCACCTTCCAGAGCGCCCCATGATGGCTTTAGGGATGTGGTGTTCCCACTGAAGCCTGGCACTTTCCGAGGGTCTAGGGAACCGCTGACCATCAAGGGCCCGGAGGCTGGACTTCCCTGCCCGGGGGGCCATAACCAGACTTATGTGTGTGCCCAGCCCCTTCCAGCCAGAGAGTCCCAGCTTGGCCATTGTGGGACAATTTTGAGGCCTGGAAGACAAGGTTCTAATGAGCTGGCTGGGATGATACTCGAGTGACGTTGAATTTGCAGGGTTTCATTTATGGAGGGGAGGACAGGCCTGGAGGTGGACCTCACGACTGATGCTGGGGAGGACCAGGAGTAGCCCCACTCAGAGCCTCATCGTGTGGCCCGTGCCCTCACAAAGCTGAGGAGTAGACAGGCCTCACCCAGGACCACATCCTTTCTAGAGCCCCTCCCCACTATGCCTTTGCGGAGGCCACACTGGAGATTCTCCCATTCAGAGACTAGACCTCTTTTCCGGGCATCATTAGGGCTGTGCTCCCCTGCCCCCGAGCCCCTCCCTTTGCACCCTCCTCACACCTAGCGTGCCTTCCCCAGGGGACCAGTCAGGGCTACGGGGCCGACCTGTGGCTGGAATCAAAGAAGCCAAAACAGTCCTCCATTCGTGCTGGACAGAGGGGAGCAGTGCAAATTTGTAGATTCTGTCCCTTTTGGACCCCAGGTTTTATTTTTCTCCTTAAATCAACATCACAACCTTAAAGGAAAAGTTTTATGGGAAGAATAACCCTGCTGTGCCAATCCTAACATTTATTGGGGCCAAATGCATGACGTGCGTTCATCCGTTTCAACCGGGCAGCGGCCTTGAAAGCAAACACTCGTGTCATCATCCCCCTTTTACAGAAGGGGAAACGGACCCTCGGAGAGCCAAGAAGCTTCTCTAATATCTCCACATTCATAGGCTTTCAAGGCTGGACTTGAAGCTGCCCAGTGACTCTACGGTGCTGTTCTCAGCCATGACCCTGATCAGGCTGCTTTCATTTCTGACATGTCCATTGTCTTCCCTCGTAGCTGGAGAGGGGTCATGGAACACTTCTTACAGCTCTTTTCTTCCCCTCTTGTAACATAAATCAGCGTTTCCCCACTTGCTCACTGCCCACCAAGCTGTCCCATATCCTCAGGGCCTCGTCTGAGCAGGAAGCCTAAACACAGAGGCAGAGCCATATAGACCTGAAGTCTAGACCTCCATCTAGTCGGGTGGAAATCAGGAACCTGGGGAAGGTGTTTAATTGCCGAGCCAGCCCGGCCCTGCCTCCAAGCCCAAGGTTCCAGCTGCCCCGACTCCCCTGGAACCCTGAGTCCGGAGCGGGTGGGACCCACCTCCCTGCCAGGCCCACACTCATCCCTCTCAGGTCCGGACTGCCCCATAGGGCCCGGGAGCAGGGACAGAGGCTGAAGGCCAGGGCGGCCGGCGGTGGGGCAGGTAGGGTGAGCAGTGGCAGAATGACCCCCCACCCCGCACCTGCCTCTGTGTGTGCGCACGTCTGCATTGGTCTCCATGGCATGAGCCCTCCCCACCCCCGCATGTGAAGCTGCAACAGCAACAGGTGCCAGCCCCACCCCCCCCAAGGCCTCCCACCCCTGCCAATCCCCCCAAGCGCTTCAGGGAGCAAACCAAAGCAGCACTTCTCCTACCATTTTCAGCCTTGGCAAGCTTGGTGGTGAAGCAAAAGGGTTTCCCTCCTCAAATCTGGCTCTGAGCAGGGGGAGGCCTCTCTGCCCAAGGCCCCCACCCCAAACAGGGAGACGCCCCAGTCCAATGACTGCCCTGAACGAGCCTGGCCTCGCCAACCCTGAAAATGGGCCTTTGGACCTTGCTCATCATCTCCAGCGCCGGGCGGGGCCCCCGGGGCTCCCCACTCTCCCGGCATCGAGCCTCTCACTTCTGCTTTCTTTCTTTTCCCCAGGGTACTCCAGGACCAATCGGAGTCCCAGGCCCAGCGGGACCAAAGGGCGAGAGGGTGAGTGCTCAGTGGCCAGAGAGCCTGTGCCCTGGGAGGGGTCCAGTGCCCCGGCCCCACTGCTAGTCCTCGGCCCCCATCTTTCCCCCCAGACCAGCACACCCCTCATCTGTGGCCTCGCCTGGTGATCCTCACAGAAGCCCGTGGGGGAGCCAGCCGGCCTGGGTTGCTCACTTTATCTCTATGAGTGTACAGACGGACAGCTGCCTGTGCCTGGTCCCTGGCCACCCAGCGTCGGTCACGGGCTCTGTCTGGCCAGGTCCCAGGTGCTGCTGGGAGCAGACACACCTAAGCCTTGTGATGATTTAGGAGACAGCTTGGAATGGAGCGCCAGGTAGTATGAGAAAGTCCTGGGCAACATCAAGAAATCAGGAGGCCGGGGCATTAGACCTGCTCCCACAGTCACGGTCTCCCGTGGCGTGGGTGCCTGTGCAGTGCTGCTGGGGCTCTGGGCTCGGGGGAGGAGGAGGCCTGCCAATCCAGTCCAAGTCTGCTTTTCCCGCCCAGCCCCAGGTTTCCGCACATCTGGGGTAGGAGATCACCAGAGGGCTGTGGGGGGCGCTAGATGCGTGCGGGGCATCCGTGGCCCTTCTGTCCCCAGGGAAGCTCCATCCCCCTCGCTCACCCGCTCACGGACCACACCGCTGAGGGTGCAGAGGGTGGAGAGCTCCTGAGGAGGGGCACAGGCTTCCCTCCCCGAGATCACAACCGCTTTGGGGACGGAGATGGCTGCTCTCAGGATGACAGTTTGGCCTCTCAGGAGGACGGAGATGGCTGCTCTCAGCATGACAGCAGAAAGCAAAGCTCTCTTTCGCTCTTCCCCCACCTTCCCTGTCCATGCTCATTTCCTGCTCCTTGTTTTCCCCCTTGGCTTCTGCTTGAGGCCAGGCTAGGACATTCAGGGCACCGTCCAGCCTTACCAGAAGGCCTTGGGGGATGGGCTCTGCTGGAGGGAGGGTGAGGGGGGGCCTCAAAACCCCCCACTGTGGGGGAGTCCACACCAGTCACACCCTCCGCTGAGCCCTTGCTCCATAGAGGGCTCTTTGAAGGGACCAGAGAGGTTTCCCAGGTTTCCTACAAAAACAGAGGCCAGTGGGTGGAAGGTTGTTCCCACATCAGGGAGGCCTCATGGGTTTCTTTCTCCGGTTTCAGGGCAGCAAAGGCGACCTGGGGATGACAGGACCAACAGGAGCGGCTGGGCTTCCTGTAAGTGTCACGCGACTGGGGCTTTCTGTCCCTCATCCCTACCCCCCCCCCCAAACAGAAGCCCTGTCAGCAAACATCCAGAGCCAAGGACGAATGTGATTTCTGTGACAGAGGAAGCTGTCCCAAAACCATGTGGTTGCGGAACTTCCCTGCTGGGCACGGCTCGGGGCAAACCTGGGGACACAGGGTGGGGGTACCAGGTCCTCAGCCATGTGGCCCATCTGACGGGATGTAGTGAACACATGTGAGCCCCTCCCACCACAAGTATCTGTGTTTGATGCAATAGGGGGTCCCATAGATGAACGTGCCATGGCACCCCAATGCTGTTGAGGAGAGGCAGAAGCAAAGCTGAATCATTATAATGCAAGAAGGAGATGTCTCGTGACAGGGGAAGCCTTCCCGAGAGACCGGCTTCCCAGTTTGCAGCAGATTTCCTGCTGTGTCATTATGAAAGCAGACAGCCTGAGAGAGCCAGGACCTCTGTTTCCCATCCGCCTAAAGGTTGTACATCTGTTCACCAGCTCCACGCCTGGCTGCCCTAGCAGCTTTCTCTGGCCAGCCCTGGGCGATCTTTGCCTTGTGCTGCTCCCCTAGCTGAAGTCATGGAGAACAGCCTGTACCTTGAAAGGGGGTATGAGCAGCTTTGGGGTCACTTTTCTAGCAAGAGCCTTTCAGAAGAGTTACAGAAACACTTCTGCCAGGAGAGTGCTCTGTGCTCACAGAGTTCTCGGCACATGCCACCCTTTGGAAGGAGCGGGCTAGAAGAGAAGGGCCACCAGCCAGGGCCTCCACTGCAGAGCAAAAAACCTGGAACTTTATTCTTGGCTTCACCCAGAACTCAATATATGTCTCAAGGTCCAGTCCCTTTGTCCCCCTTTTGTAAAATGGGGATAATTAAGCCTGTCTCTGATGAATTAGGTATCAGAACTTTCTGAGCCTGGAAGGAAGGCCAGGATGGCCATCCTGTCTTTTCTCATGAACGTGTCTTCATTTCTGTGATTTATTGCAGGGTTTACATGGACCACCCGGGGACAAAGGAAACCGGGTGAGTCTGAGCCCTTGCACTTTGGCTCTGGTTACTAATGTCTTCATGATGTGGTGGAATGATCAATTGGGGATTCCTGACCCAACATTGGCAAATATGGTTCTTCCTGGTAAATGATCCTAGATTAAAAGGCTCTGTAGTGAGTGGCTTACTCTGTAGTGCGGGGCAGCCTGAGGCCTTATCGTGAAACGGAAGCCTGTTTCTTTTCCACGTGGCAAGAGGAGACTGAATCCCATGGTGGCCGTAAGATTAACATTGCCCTCCAGCAATGGGAGCCGTGTGCCCACTCTCTACGGCACCCTGCTAATAAACCCCTCAATGGTATTTTTAGACCCATCATTGCCTCGTTGTAGCCTTCTGAGACTTCATTTTGCCAGGCATCCCAGGCCACTGGTGAGAGACAAATACATTTCGGTTCCAAGCAAAAGCACACAGCTGTTGTAAGCAGCCAACCCTTAAAAAAGGATCACAGCCATTATTTATCTTGGAAAGAGTCCACAGGACCATGAAATCAATTCTGCCTCCCGAGGTCCTTTGCTGTCCCTTTGGTTTCTGCCATCGTCCCCAGCACAGAGCTGTTGAATGTCCACAGCACCCACAGCCACGTGATAAAATGGGACACATGCCACATATCGGACACGGGCCACATATGGGCCCAGCAGGGACCATTTAACTGCCTCTGACCCAGAGATGAGCTGTGGGTCCATTCACAGAATTTCTTATCCGCTGCTTCATCACAGCACTCCCCAGAGTGTGACCCACAGCACCTAGAGGACCCAACGCATCTTTCAGTGGGTCATGTTGTCCAAGGGTCTCTGAGGGAGGAGAGGACAAGCAGAAGAATAGAGGGAGAGACAGGTAAGAACCACAACAAAGTACACCAAGTAGGGGCAGAGAAGATGGCTCCTAGATCCCAGGTCCTCCAGCTGATCTTTGCACACTGATAACCATGTTCATGGATAGGAAGTGCCAGAATCTGTATGCTTATATCTTGCACCAGACCCAGTCTTCTCCATTTAAGGTATTTATTTAACCTTTCTCTGTTATTTATTGAACTGTCTTCTCCGTGATCAAAGGAGCGAGACTGATACAAAGTGAAGGCCAAGCAAAGCTTTATTTCGCGCCAAGCATTGAGAATCAAACTGCCTGGGCAGGGCTGCCTCTTACAGAGAGGACGACGACTCCCAGCCTCACAGACTAACTTTTATAGAGCAAAAGGCCATGTGGTTGAGCCTGGCCACACACAGGTGGCCAATGAGATTGCAACACACAGAGAAAGTTGCACAGTCATGCTAGGTCACACACGGGTGGCCTGTTGAATTACAATTCACCCCATAGTGGCTATTTGAACTAACCTATCACCTTGGTCAGAATTGGCACCCAAAAGGCAGGGCCCACACTCCTTGGTAGCTAGGGAGACAGTATGCGCACTCCACTGATTGGATGTCTCCACCTGGCCCGACTCATCCCTGCATTCCAGCTCTGTTATCTCCACCTGACCTGACCCGCCCTTGTATTTGGGCTCTGTTATCAGGGACTGGTCAACCACATTTTACTGGTTTCCCAGACTTGCTTCTAAGTAAGTTTCTTGGGCGGGGGGGGGCAGGGCGGGTGCGCGCAGGGTCAGTTTAAGTTTTATTGCATAAACAAGAAAATCACTGTTTAACCAAGATGAAATCACTCTGGCTAAGTAGGCCCTTACATTCTCTAGAGTTCAGTTCCTCTCAAGAAGAATTGAAATTCTTCTTCCTGGGAGCTGGTCAAAACTAACTCGATTTTTTCCATATATTCTATAAAAGCAAGCAGAGTAACACCTGCCAAACTGTCCATGGAAGACCAAGTCTAGAAACCACTGGAATTATCAGACCTACTTCCAGGAATGTGCTGGCTGGGAAGGCAGGGTGGGAAGCCCACCTTCCTTCCTGTGCCATCAAAGAATTTAGGAAAAAAAAATTGATCATTCCACATCTTAGCTGAGATACTAATCCCCTTTCTAACTTATTTCTAAAGTGTTCTGGTTCTCTTTATCATATTCAGTTAATACTTTTAAGCTATTTCTTAAGACTTTCTCAGTTGGCTTGTGGCAGTGAGCCATTTGAAGGCCTCAAAACCAGCAATGACCATGGTACCCCTGAATGTGGGGCAGGCAGGTGCCCTTGTCACAGGTGGAGAGGTAGCTGGCAGTGGGAGACGCTGATGCCAGGCTCTGGGGTTGTTGAATGAGCCAGTGAGGCTGCAGGAATCAGCAGGAGAATATTTCTTCTAGACTTCTCCTTCCTAAGGCTTTACGAACCTTCCCCTGCCCCACCTGTCAATTAGAAATATGTCACTTAGTAAAAGTCAAGTCCAGAAAACACTCAACTTGTGGAACCTGCTCTCCAGTAAACTGTAAGGATAACTGACTTATTCCAAAGAGCAGGTTTGAGAATCAGGGAACAGCTTGTGTCCTCCATTCGAGAGATCTGACTCTCAGGACACCAGAATGTCCTACAAGAGTGCCCCCTGCGTCTCAGCTCCCTGAACAGACCTCTTTATGCCACTGTCCCTTGCAGACCTCTTGAGGGGAGATGTGAGGGTTTCATAATAAAGCCTTCAAAATGAAGGAGGTCCTAAGCAGAACCAATGCTTGCCACGGACAGGTCTTTTTCCTGAGGCCTGGGAGATCAGAATAGTGACACTTTGGTCAAGGGAAAAGGCCAGAGGGGCTACGATGACATTCTAGGTAGAAGCCTGCTCGTGAAGGCCAAGCTGCAGGTGTTCCAAGCCCCAAGCCCCCACAGGGTGTGAGAAGGAGGCTGCCTGAGGCCCCTCTCAAAACTCCACTCCATGTGCCACCAGGGCCCATTGGAGAGGCCCAGGTGGCTGCACCATAAGCCCGTTGCTCCATCTTCCAGTGGAAGGGGACACGGTCTTAAAACAATGCCTCTCTGTGACCCACCACACAACGGTCTTAGAGCCTCTTCCCCATTCCTGAGAGGAAGAAGGTCCTGGTCCTTGTAGTAGCACACAAGTTCCAGAGCCCAGAATAGGCCATTTTCTAAGGGAACACACATGACCATGGAAAGACTTTCCTGGTCTTGTCACAAGGGACGCCATTCCCGGCCTCTAACAGCCCCAGGAATTTGGCCCAGGAGCCATGTTTAGGATGAAAGAGTTCATCACAAGATAAAGAGTGCCTCAGGGGCACCTGGGTGGCTCAGTCGGTTAGGCGTTGACTCTTGATCTCCGCTCGGGTCTCTTGTCTCCCGGTTGTGAGTTCAAGTCCGACGTGGAACCCACTTAATCAAAAGGGGAAGGGGGAGAAAAAAAGATAAAGGTGGCATGAATTTGGCATTGGCATTGGAAAATTGGGTGGAGCAGCGGTAGTGCTCGTGCAAGCCAGACAACTGGAAGGTCTGCGTGCGTGCGTGCTGGCAGGGAGGGGGCGGGGGGGGATGTGCGTGCATGTGAGTGTGAGCGGCCTGTGCTGCCTGGTCCCCCTTGCCTCCTTACCTCTCCGTCCTCCCTTATCTCTTTTGGCCTAGGCCGGACTCTTCCTTCCTTCTCTCCTTCAATACTTCTCTGCGCAGACGCACTCGCCCCATCACCAGACCCCACCCCCTCGTCTTTCCCTGCCACTCTCCCAGCCTCCACTCAGTTCCTCCGAAATCAAGTTATGTATCTGTATTTTATAAAGAAACCTCTGCTGTTTACTTTTATTTGCCCTTTCCCCTCCTAGAATCCCCTCTTTGCCCTGGCCTCTTCTGCCTCACTCTCTGGGATGGGATGTACCTAAGGCTAGGACTCTAGTACCTTCGAAGGCTGCCCACTTTAAAGCCATTTCCTGGGCCCTTCGGACCTGGCTCCCTGTAGTGCAAACTACACAGCCTGAAAGTCAGGACCACCACTGCCGACCCCGTGTTGCCTGCGGACAAATCATCAGGGACCTGGAACCCTACTCCCAGCAGCTCCTGGGGAGCTTTGCCCACCCTCCAGACGTAGGCAACTGCATTCACTTTGACACTGGCCTGACCCAAGGAGAAAGAGGGACCCCATTGGTGAGAAAGTTTACACTGGGGCTTCCCATCCAAAGAGCTAGCAGATTTACTGGCCCCTGCTCAAGGATCGTTGACGCTGTCTGTTGTGTTCTTCCCGGTAGGCGTGGTTCAGAGCCAAAACTACCACAGGTAACAGGCTTACACATGTGTCCTCCCGATCACATCAGTTTCCAAGGAAGCATCTGCACTTTAGAAATCTCACTCAGAACAATCCACTGGCAATTACAGGGAACCTCTGGAATCATGAAATTTGAGGTGTTTCCAAGGACTCAGATACGTAAGAAACGTTCTTGTCCTTGCCCCACCCCCCCAGGAACCTGCAGCCTTCCGCTACATGAACACGGTAGCTGGTGGCAGGCTCGGCTCCAGGACAGGCTCGCAAGAACTCACCACCGTCGCCACTGTAACCGTTGTGAAGCAGCTATCATTGCTGAGCACGGACTCTAGGCCACTATTAAATGGCACCGTTAAATGTGCACAAAGACATCACTACAAAGTTTTGAGGCAGCTGTTACGATCCACGTGGTGCAGGTGAAGAAAAATGAGGCTCGGAGAGGTTGAGTGATTCCCAAAGGCACACAGCTGATCACAGGCAGGACCCACTCTGGCTCCAAGGTTTTCTTCTGATGCTGTGCTGCCTGCCTTCGAGGCCTTGTCCTCCTTGAGGAGCACTATGGAAAGCCCCCGCCGTGAGACAGTCAGCCTTCTGTAGCGGCGGAGAACCATCCCCAGAAAGACTCCCCATGGACACACTTGGCCTCTTTATAAGGAGACCCAAATGGGAAAATCCAAACTCAAGTCCATGAGGAAGCATTCCCCATAGCCTTTCTTGAAATGGAGAGTGACCCTAACACATACAAAAGGGGGTTCTATTTAGAAAGATGATGCTTACTGAAGTTTTTTGGAAACAAATGAGTTCCTTGAACCAAATCATCTGTATACAACCTAGCTGCCTCTGATTCAGACCAGAGACCAGAGACCCACATACAGTGGGAGGACCTAGCTGAGAGCCAGGGGCCGCCCAGGAGCCCTGGACACCCATGTACACATGTGTGCTGTACACTCACACACAAGCACACACTTGCACATGTACACACTGTAAACACACACCCAAGCACATACATACACACATATGTGCAGACATTCACACATGCACATGCACACACACACACACACACACACACACACACACCCCAAGGCTCTAAATAAAATCATCTCGCCTCCTAATACAAATGTCAAAGGGATGAAAACCAACAGGGATCAAAGTTGGCAGGTCAAAGTCTTTAAAAAATGGACCCTCCAAGAGAAAATTGGCCCTGAGTAGCTTCCTCTTGCCTTTCCTTCCACCTCCAGCTCTGAGCCCTACTGCTCCCGGCCCCGAGGTCTTGACTTCCTCCCCTGCCCCCCTGCCCACCAGCGTTAGCCACCGGTCCCAGTTTCTAGAAGGGTCGGGGGTGGCTGCTGACCTCAATCCTATTGGAAAGAATATCTTCATTAAGTGATGCTATTTTCCCCCTCTTTAATTTTTTCTTCCTTTTCTGTTTCTAACCTTAACACATGAAGGATCCTAAAGTTTTGATGTTATTTTTTTTCTCTCGGACTAAACCATTATTTACAGGGGGAGAGGGGGAAGAAAGGCTCTAGAGGGCCTAAAGGGGATAAGGGAGACCAAGGAGCGCCTGGATTAGATGCCCCCTGCCCGTTGGTATGTCTTCATTTATCACTTGCATTGTTCTGGGTTTTTTCTTGAGGTTTGCAAGCCAGAAACCAAGAAGGCAAATAAGCTAGGATGAGGAGGGGATGTCTGCACTGATGTTACCACATCTGTCCGTGCACTTGGTACCACATCTGTCCGTGCACTTAGCCAGAGGAATTCTGCCTGCGGGTGCTGGTGCCCTCAAACCCCTGCTGCAAGGCATTCTGGCAAAATCCCTTTCCTTTGAGGATGCAGGACAATTGATGTGTGGAAAGAACCCCCCACCATGCCTTTCCCCCGCTTAGGCAGGGGATTTGGAGTAGGCCTCTGCCGTTCGCTCCAGAAGAGCTCTGGAACCCACTGTAGCATTTGTAAGCTACACATTTGCCTTCTTTGTTTCATGGCCACCTCTGTGGCCAGCAGTCCACACTGTTGGAATCCTCTGTCAGGATGCAGGACACCGGGATCCGTGTCTCCCCGGGGCTGTCTAGACACCGGATGGGGTAGAACCAGGCCAGAAAGGGGGCTTTTAAAATCGAGCCTCCCTGTGCCCACTAGCCATGCAACGAAACCTGTGAAGCCGCAGACTGCCATCAGTAGACAGAACCCCCCCCCCCCCGGAGAGTCCCCAAACAAGCTTATAAGGAATGGTTTGTGGCACATTAGCCCGGCTTCCCAAGTGCCCTCACAAATCCACATGAAGGTTCTGAAAATTATGATATGCTAAATTTGAAGTTCATCTGAGTTCGTTCCAAGTGAGTCTTGAGACGGAGAGGGGGCCGGCTGTACGCGTGCCAAAGCTCAGCTCTCGCGGGAGCCAGAGAGAGCACCACAGCTGGACCTGGCAAGTGGGAGTCCGCTGGGACTGGGGCCTTGCTTGTGACCGCCTCAGGGGTCCTGCATCCTGGCGGGGGGGGGGGGGGGGGGCTTGGGCCTCTCCGCTCCACAGTCGGAGCTGGCCAGCCTTGACCTAAATAATCATCGTGGTTGGTTTTGTGAACAGGGACACCGAGGTTTTAAAGGAGAAAAAGGGGAGCCGGGGTTACCAGGGCTGGACGGACTGGATGCCCCATGCCCATTGGTATGGCGTCACCCTCCCCTGCCTGCATGGCCGGTTCCGGCTTCCCCACGTGTGTGGTTCTCGCCCGCATGCCTCTCTGGCCACGTCCGCCTTCCCCCCACATCACCTGCCCCTTCTCATTGTAGACCCTAAGGGTCACCCTGCCACGGCTGGTCCTCAGGGGCTCCCACATGCCCCTCGCGCAGCCCAAGTTTGCCGAGATGTTTTCTTGGCCTCCTCCTGCAGCTGCTTCAAAAGCACCCTCCCCTTCATGCGAGCCGTCCCGCCCGACCCCCTAAGCCAGCTTTGGCCGCATCTGATCCTCCTTTCACAGCTGCTTCTAGCCATCCTGCCCCCAGAAAGAAAGCTAGGGAAGTGGAGTCTCTGGATGGACCCTTAGCAACCGTGACTTCTCTTCCTTCACACACTGCAGTTGCTTCGGCAACAGCTCCCGCTGAGCACCCAGCAAAACTGAGATGCTGAGCCAGTCCTACACGCCTTCCTGCTCCATCTCTCGAGGCGGCAGGGGACCAATGGGCATGCTCCTAAACACGGGAGACTGAGAGGTTCTAGAACGGACATAGAGGAGGGCTTGGGGTCGCTGCCCCAGTGATACCACCAGAACCAGGGAATGGTCCAAGAGCAGGATTATAGATGCTAAAGGGCTCATCCCTTTTGCTGAAACCCTGGAAAACATGAGGAGATCCTCCCTTAGATTCCCCTCCTTCCATCTTTAGATGGTTCCCCTCCAGCAAGGCTGGAAGAGAATGGAAAGGTTGGGAATGTCGTTGAGGAACAGAAGAGAGGAAGTGGGGAGGCACTTAGGAACCTTTTCCAAGAGTGTCCCGGCGGAGTGGTCACCATGCAGTTTGCGCTGCGTTGCACTGGGCCCCGGCCCTTTGGGGAGGAACATTCTCGCCCCCACTGCCATCCCTTCACCTCCCTGCAAGGGGAGCACATGATGGTGCCTCATTCCAAGGCCATGGGTTTAAATGGTTCCTGCCCTCCTAAATGTCCCCAGGAGGCCTGGAGTACATGGAGCTATTTTCATACAAGTAACAGTCAGACGAGGACTCCCGGTCCCACATCCCGCCCCAGTGTCCCATGATAGAGACCTTTTAGGACCGGTATATGCAACAAAAGAAGAGCACAGAGTAGATTGCTTGCTGTTTCCCCGCCGCTGAAACCCCCGCTCGCGGCCCCCACTTCCCCACTGCCCTGCCTGATGAACCCGAGCAACCATGGGACTCCCGGGTCCCTCCCGAGCACCTGCATCAACCCCCAGTCAGATCTCCCCCCGCCTCGTGCCTCCCACGGTCTGACACCTCGAGTTCTGCCAGCTGCAGCCCCAGCCACCGGCTCCTCTCTCCCATGCTCCCACTTCCCGCCTCGCTCTCCTGCGCTACCCCCCCCCCCACCGTCATGTGCCAATGGGAATGCCGCTGTGGCCCGCGGAGGCTCCTCTCCCTTCCAGAGTCCTTGTGAAAGGATGCACCGTGGTGGGCTGGGGAAAGGGGCAGAAGGTCTTCATGAGGCCTCAGAATGCACCACCTCCTCCTGCAGGCTCTCCACGACCCTGGGGGACAACGAAGGTCATCTTTATTTGATCCTTAATGCAAACCGTGTTTCTCACCATTGCTCCCGTGCTGTGTTTTTGTGGACGTAGGGTCAGGGGGAGCTAGCTTAGTACCAGATAAGTAGACTGCTTCGGCCCTCTATGTCGGGCCAGCTGCCTGCTGAACGCCAGGTGAGCGGTTTAGGCACCTGTCATGGTGCTGAAATTGGTCTGGGGCGCAGAGAGCTCCTCTTCAGCTGCCTCTGGACTGACCACTGGCTCTGGTCCCTGAAACCTTGTGTCCATCCCTGCTGTGCCCTGGAGTGTGAATTCTAGAATCTGGGCTGCAATTCTAGTAGACACAGACTGAGAACCAGATCTTTGCCCCACTTCGGCCCCAGCCTCCCCACTTTGTCTCACAAAAGTTCCGGGCTCCCCAAAGGGTGTGCCAGTGAGCCCGGGACATCAGGGCCCCAAGAAGACTCAGGTGTTCCAATAGGGGCTGCCAGCAAAGAAGACAAATGGCACACAGTTTGATTCCCATCCTCCACTCCATCCCCCCCACCCCAAATTCCCAGCAATGGCTAGGGCAGTGCCATGGGGCCAGCGTCACCTCGCTGAAGGCACCTCAGAGCCACATGACAATACCTGTGAGTGAGGTGGCTTGCCCCTTTGTGTCTCGTCCTCTGCCTTATTGATGATCACATGGGCCGCCTAGACTTCCTCTTTCTACAGGTAAGGAAAAGAGGAACTAAGATAGTAGGAGAGCTGGGGGCCCCCTAGTGGCCATTTCACACAGACATGCCTTACCAGGTTTTACAGAGGAAGACACAGGCCACCAAGCGCTGAGCGACTTATCCAAAACGGCCTAGTACTCAGTCCAGCCAGAGCAGAAACCCGAGGGGCTTAGGGCTGTCCTTAACAGGTTAGGGCTGACCCCACAGCCTAGGGCAGCCCCTCTTGGCGGTGCACTAAAATTCATGGGGCACTCGTCAATGGGAAGTCTGCCTCCCTTGCTTCCCAGCCCCTTCTGAGGCTCTGCCCTGCGGCAGAGAAGAGAAATAGACCAGAGGCGGGCTGTATCCTGATACGCTGCCGCAGGGTGTGTGGCCCTTGTTCCCCCCCACCCCCATCCCGCCTGCTTGGGGGGCTGTCTCAGAGTCTGAGCCATCTGCCTTCCTTCCTCACTGCAGGGCGAAGATGGCTTGCCAGTCCAGGGCTGTTGGAACAAGGTAAGGCTGCCGGGCGGTTTGCAGTGCCCCGGGGGCACGGGCGTACTTGTGGCCTCCTCAGGGGCGTTTAAACACGTGCAGTTTCCATCCAGGGCCTCTCTGCAAATGGCGTGGGTCGAGAAAGGAACGCTCCTCAAGGCAGGGTGCCCACGAAGCGTCCCACACACTGCATGCACTTAGAGAACTTTTTCAAAACGCTTTTTAAGGTGTCGGCAGACCCCAGTGTCTGGAATTTCCAGGTAGCCACACGGCTGACATCTTTATGCTTTGTGTGCTTAATTTCCACAGCACCTTTCCTCCGAGGACTGCTAGACCACGTTTTTAAAATTAGTTATCAGTAGCTGTTCTCCCAGTGTTCACACGAGGTCATTTAAGGCGTCAAGCCACATGATGACATTTATCCAGATGTAGGCAATCTGCCAGAAGGAAGGAAAATGTAGGAAAAATGCCAGAAGTATGATGCATCTTATAGATTATTTAAAAAGAAAAAAGAAAAACCTGCATATTTTGTACAGAAAACACCAACCTCCTTCCCTTTACTTAGACTATACACTCACGTGGCTTCCCTACTTCCTCATGGAGACTGGCCGGTTCACCACTCTGCCCTTTCCCTTGAACTTAAGCGGCCAGAGCTTCACGCTAGCACACAGCAGTCCCGCAGCCCAGCCCCTCCCGGGGTCCCAGAATTCCTACCAGCTGTGAGTTTTCCTTCAATCACCCCTCTTGGTCAGGGCCCCCGGGGCACAGGGCTCCTCCACTTGACAAAGGCCATCGGCTTGCTAATCCAGTTTGCTGGCGGGTCGGCAAAGGTACAGCTGCCGTGCCGCTCACCTTCCGCCCGCAGCCCTCCTCCAGCTTGCTCCCTCTGACATGTCTCACGGCCCTCACCCCGTGGTCTCCAGGTGTTGGGTTGTCCTCAGAAAAGGGCCAGAGACCCGAGCATGTCCAAGAGCTGGTGCTTAGCTCATTGAGCCCTGTTTCAGTGACAGCAGACGCACACTTAGGGTCAGACGGGGCTCCTCCGTGCTAAATGGCCAGCATCTCATTAGTTCACAGGATTGAGTTAAAAGTAGTGAACCCACCAAGACCCCAGGCCCAGGGCGGAGTCCCTGCACACCCAGGCACCCAAAGGCATCCCTGACCATAAAGACGGAGAGCTCGTTATCAGGGAAGAGGCCACCCCGAGAATCTGCCCCTCATCCCCTCGCTGTGTTCCCCTAGACCTGGTTAAAACTCCACAGACGCAGGAAAGAGGCAAGCTGAAGGATGTTTGCAAGATTTCCTTCTTCGAGGTTGTGGCTGATGGTTAGGAGATGGGAGTGGTTGAGCTCAGCAGGGGAGGAACAGCTATACTATGGAGGGCTAGAGCTACGATGTCTTGGGGTCTTGGGGAAGCAGCCCCAGAGCCTCCTGTCTGTTGGCTCACGCCATAAATTCAGTCTGGGAGCATGCGGTAATTCATTTTGCAGCCGGGCCTCGCCAGGCTACATGGAGAGCAGGTGCCCTCTAGTGTCCGCAAAGGGGGTGACAGGAAGACGAAAGTGATTTTCTGCCCTTAGGGTGCAGACAGCAACAGGGCTTCCCACCCAGGGGCCCGTGGCACCCTTATCCAGAGCTGCCCGCCATCCCGGCCCTCCAAAGAGCCACCGCTTTCCCACAAGGGAAGGAGACACCCACAAATCCACCAACACTAACGCTACTTTGTGTGTTTTTGTTTTGCAGTGATGCCTCTAACCTGGGAATGGCCTGTGTGTGTGTTTGTACATAGAATATTTATTTTTATACAGTTTTCACTTTTTGAAAATGCCAGAAGTATGATGCATCTTACAGGTTATTAAAAAAAAAAGAAAAAAGAAAAACCTGCATATTTTGTACAGAAAATGCCAACCTCCTTCCCTTTGTTTACAAGATGTTTTGTATAAGTCTACGACTCTAATACACTTTTTGTTTATGAGTATGGGCATATGTTTGCATGATATTTGTGCACACTTATTAAGTACTGAAGCTTAATAAATTATTGTGTTCTGGTGCCAAAGGGGGCCAAGCCAGCACCGAGGTGCTCGCTAGTTTACGTGTGAATTCACAGGGACGTGGAAGTCAGTGGTGTTTGCCAACTAGGTGTGTCTAAGAATTTTTTTTAACTCTTATGGATTTTCACCATTAAAAAAAATGAAACATGGCAACTTATGATCCCAATCAATCATTAAATTAAATACATTCTTTCTTGCGAAAGCAGGAAGTCCCGGAGGTCCTCAGAAATATAGGGTAACGTATAGAAACGTGAGGTCCAACAGTGAGAGGGGAGGAGGGGTCGCTTAAGCAAGGTCCTTTGTATGTAACATATTCCGAGTTCCTTGGGGTGCCCTTTGAGCGTTTCAAGTTCAAGTTCAGGTCCGCTACTAGGCTCTGGGTCCCCAAGGTTCCAAAGGCTATTTGTTATGGCTTTCAGTATTGGGGGGGATTTTGTTTTTCTTCCTTTTGAACGGCAGTGAGTAGTGACAGCCACTGCTGCTGCTGGTGGTTCATGGGGAGCAGATCGACAAGGTCCCCTCACCCCTAGCCGCTGAGAGCTGTGCCTCATTGCCATTCCACTCTAACCAAGAACATTCAAACAACACTCACAAATCAGGGCCACACTGGCCATCTGAAGTTGGGTTTATTTTTTTTTAAATCGAGTTTTATAGAGTCCTGCTCACACTGCAGAGCTTAGTAAAGAGCTCAGGAACCTTGCCTGAAAGACTACATAGGACCCCGCTGTGGTGTGGCCCACCGCTTTACCATTTGAGGTTTGAAAACATAAACCAGTGTTGTTTTGGGCCTTGAAATAACAACCTGCTTGGGTAGAGTGACTGTACTCCATCATTTTATTTCATTTTCATTTTCATTTTTCTTAATAGATCCTTTCTTCATAGTCAGGACAGGGGCAAACGTAGACTCAGATTCTGTCCACCCACAGTCATGGCCGTGAACTCTGCATGAGGGGGCTTCGCAGTCAGGAGACCCTTACCCCATGGTAGTAATGGGAACTATGGGCTTCCCAGACCCACGCGGACCAACCTTTCTCACTCCAGATGTCCATTCCATGTTTTGGGAATCAGACAGCTTCCTCCTCGGAGTCTCGCCTTCCTCGTCTGGAAAGCAAAATGGGGGCGCTGGAGCTGGCCTCTGTGGTCATTGAACGGAGCTCATCTCTCCTCTCCCTGCAGGGCAGAAGCACCAGGGCCCCGGGCCCAAGCCGCCAGCTGACACAGTTGCTATTCCTATGGGGGGAGTGTTCCAAGACGGGCCCTTTCCAAATCCCCCGGAGTCCAGGGACACAGCTCACCCCCAAGCCGGGGCCGATGTCTCAGGCAAAGTGCCATGAGCCTGGCCCCACAGTATTTTCAGGGGCTAAGAAAATATTTTCATTTTTATTTCTTTTAAATCAGGGTGGGAGGATGAATCTATAATAAATGAATCCAGCCGGGGTTACATTCATCTTTCTACCAGAGAATGGCACAGAAATACGTGTGAGGGAAAGTTTAAAAGTCAGTGTCCGGAGAAATAAGTACAGAGGAGGTGACAGGAGGCCCAGATGGGCCGGCGAAGGTCCCTCACACATTTCCCTGCAAGCTCTCCCTGGTCGGAGGCAAAAAGGAACAATCCACTCGGTTCCGGGGACTGCACTGCCCTTCCTAGCGGCAGAAAGTTCATGGAGGCGGACTCCATGTGCAGGCTCGTTGTCTCTCCCTGGCCTTTGGAGCCTCGTGTCCCCTCAGCCAGATCCCTCCTCCCTGCAGGGCCTGACTTCGGGGCTCCCCTGGGCCCCTCCACTGGGGCCTGAACTCAACTCGTCTCCGGGTCAGGGGTGGTGCAGGGAGATGAGAAGCAGGGAGGGCACGGTCGAGACGTCTGCAGGGCAGCTGGGCATCAGCACTCATGCTAGCACGAGGAGTACCGGGCTCCAGAAGGACAGGGATGCGAGCACTGCAGGAGCGCAGATCAGAGGAGGACAGCACCCGGGCCGGTACCAGAGAGCGCTCACGGAGCTTGGAGACACTCACTCCGTTCCTGGGACGCACAGCCCCTTCTGAGAACTGCTTGCCTGGAAACGGAGGCAGTACCCAGGCCCCTCCGCATGGGGCAACTTACAGCCCTGTTGGCGAGCATCCTCTGTGAGTTATGGAGGGCCAAGTCTTGAGTCCTGCCGCCTTCAGTGGCTCACTCCCGTGCCTGGCCCTGGGTGCTGGCTGCAGCACCCTCGTATGGCCCAGCTCTGCCTACCTGCAGGCCTGGGGACACCTGGCTTCACGAGAGACTAAGCCAGGACCCCTGCAGGTGACCGTGGACCTGGTGGTCCCTGCCCAAACCACCGCTCTCACCAAGGTCAGTGACCTGTGCCTCTGTGGCCACGTGGGCCAAAGGAAGCCCCTCCTCACCAAGGAAGGAATGGTTCCTTCCACCCGGGCCCGCCCGGCCCCACCTCTGCCTCACTCGGTGCTTCTGCCCTGCTGGCCTGAGAGCTGGCCTCCCTGAGGGGAAGGTGGCGGTGGGGAAGGGGGGAATCTTGACGTCATCTGGCAGAATGAAATGCCACAGACCTGGGGGGCGTTCGGGGTAGCCCGGGACGGGGGAGGGTGCTGGCCCACAGGGCTGGAGGCTCAGCTTCCAGTCCCTCCTCCATGGTCAGCCCTGTGGCACGGGACAACTTACTCTAGCTCTCAGTTTCCCCAAATGTCAAATGAGGAAGCTGACTTGGGTGACCTCTGACAACCTTAAACCCACTGATCCCACGGACCAGTGGTCATCTGGGAGGACTGGGATGCTGGGGTGTCCCCCACCCCTCTAGCTCGTGCTGTCCGGCTGGGCTAGTGTGATGCATGGAGCTAGCATGGCCACACTGCGTGCTGCATGCGTGTTGCCCGTGACCCTGACAACCGGGAGTCTGGCACGGTCGGTGATTGGGGGTGTCGGCTCCCCTCGGGCAGGGATGGCAGCAGAACTTCTTTCTCTCAGCTGGCATCTACGCTGCTAAATTCATCAGAGGTGGAGTGGTACAGGTGTACTCACCTGGAGCACAGGGGGACAGTCCCTAACGCCCTACAAATGTTCAAGGACACTGTGCTGCCTTCACAAGTTTCTCCCTAGCCTCCCCCCATATCCGGCTCTCTGCATGCCTGTCTGTGCACACCCCCCCACACTGGTGCAGCCTGGATGCCTCCCACCCCCAGACCCCGCGCCTGGACTCACTTTTAGACACCCCGAGAGTAAAACACCCATGACTGCAGGCCTCTGGAAAGAAGGGTGGGCCACTGGTGGGTGCCCCGGGAGAGAGCGGGGAAGGAAGGACCAGGGAGGAACCAGCTGCTCCTTTCTTCAAGGAGCGAATTTTCCAGGTGGCATTCCCTTGAGGCAGCAGGCTCCTCCATGTGGGGTACGAGGGGAGATGGCGCAGGGAAAGGAGCTGGGTTCTGTGTGCTAACGCACAATTCCAGACACAAAGTGACTGCTGCCCCCCACCTCCAGTCCCTAGGAACGGCCTGCCTCCAGGGAACAGCCAAGCATCTGCCTAGAGCGGTGTAGACAGAGCTGAGGCCTTCCCCAGCCCCTGGCCGGCTCACAGGTCCCCGCACACACCCTCCGCTTTCCCCTCCCCCCTTGGCCCACGCCAGGCCCTTTGCCTGCCAGGCTGTTTTTTCTCACCTGCCAAAATTCTACCCTCCTTTCTTTCTTTTTTTTTTTTTTAAGCTTTTATTTATTCATTTGACAGACAGAGATCACAAGTAGGCAGAGAGAGAGAGAGGAGGAAGTAGCCTCCCCAATGAGCAGAGAGCCCGATGCAGGGCTCCATCCCAGGACCCTGAGAGCATGACCTGAGCTGAAGGCAGAGGCTTTAAACCACTGAGCCACCCAGGTGCCCCTCTACCCTCCTTTCAAGGCCCAGCTCAGACCACCAGGGCCCCGGGAAGACTTTTCTGGGTTCCTAAGTTGGGTGAGTCTCCCTCGTTGGAAAAACCCAGAATTCGGTGTTCTTTTCCTCCTCTGCCTTCTATTAGAGGAGGAAAAGTCAGTCTTCCACACTAGACAGTGAACTCTTGGAGAAAAGGGACTTTCTCATTCATTAGGCACCTGGAGACCTAGCTCAACGTCTCCCTCCCATGGTCAAGGTTCATAAACATCCACGATCAGCTGAGTCATCAGTCTACTTGATTAAAGCACCTATTGCGTGCAAGCAGTGGGCGGGGAGGCCAGAGCTACTATGGACTGTGAGGCCCAGTCTGTCCTCCAGGAGTTAACAGGGACGCCCACAATGCTAAGACGTGCGGGCTAAGTGCTCGGTGAGGGCCTCAAGACTCTGTGGCGGCCAGTGCGGCCAGAACACGGAGAGGGAGTTTGCCACCGAGGAAGGAGGGAGAAGCTGGCTACCACGGACTATCAGTCTCTCCCTTGCCTCGCCCTCCAGCCCCGGCCATGGAGCATCAGGCTGGGCTACACCTGCTTCTCACATCAGGGGAGGGCAAATGAGATTTCCACAGAAGAAAGGGGGTAGAGAGGGTGGGTCCATGCTGGGAGTCCACCGGGGTTGGCCAGGTCTGTGGGATGCCCCTGGCCCAGGGAGGCAACCCCACAAGCCAATCCCCAGTGAGTTTCCGTCTCAAACATCCCCTTCTCAATGTTTCCTCAAGGGCCAGAGTCCATGGTTGGTGGCCAAGAAGTGAAGCCAACCAGCCCAGAGTCTTGGGGAAAGCACCTTGCCCTGGAGGAGTGAGAAGATGGAGCTGTCCCCGGACAGAGGGTCATGGGCCAAACCCTTCTCAGGGAACTGGCTTGAGGGCTGATTGGAGGGTGACTACAAGAGCCAGAGCTCAACTAAGAAAAGTGAACGCTGGGCCTGCCTGT